CTATAGCAGCTCCAAACTCTGATATCAACAAACATTACAATATATCACAGTCAACCATACTGTACTTAAAACAAACAACAGAAAATCCTCGTGGGACCCACTCACCAGCTACTGTCTCCATTTCAGCGGCTGCTTCATATCCTTACTTAACAGCTTACTCTCCGATGAAATGTGTAGGGTAAATGTGTCACATCTACTTTTCACAGTGTGGCTCTATCTGCAGAAGGTTTGTTTTTATTTCATAGCTCGTAAAAGTTAGGGGAGGATAACTTTTCAGCTTGCTGCAGGTGCCAGTGCTGCACCAGATAAAGATTTAGCTCTGCAATGAGATTGTTGTCACCGCTCCACACATACACATGCACACACACCTCTCCATCCACCCTATTGCACTCTGTCTTTCAATAAAGGTCATATCACACCATCAGCATGAAATGTGACATTTAATTCTGTCATGATGAAGGCAATAATGTTTATTATGCATTTAACACATTAATTAGGTTGTGGGGGCTTTGCTTACACCTACTTTAATGAGTGAGGCTAATTCCTTTTGGTTACTGCTGCTGACATTGTGGTTATTGGTGCGAGTGTTGCTGATATTTTTATTTGATGCTTCTGGCTATCATTAGCTGTAATACGACTCAAGACAAAGAAGCGCAGATGTCCGACACTCAGACAGTCTTTTTCACGTACGGAGAACACACCCATGTTATTTCACTCAGAAGCTCTACCAGCAGCACTTATTAACATTCCTCAGCTACACGTGTCGACGTCTCGCTGCCGGATTTTACTCTTAATAAATTGACACAATTGTATATTCAGATCAGCTGCCTTCCATTCCCAAATGCCTTAGTTGATCATTCACAGACGACAGCTAAACTTAAGTTAGGACCTAATGGGAAAATGTAATCACGTCCAAGAACGAAGGCCATTTTCATGTATGTATAGTTTAATAAATTAATATTTATCCCCTGGAGAACTCTTTATGGTCTCAAGGTGGAAATACAACCTTTGTGAGAATATTCATGATTAATTTTACACAACAAATGAACAAAATTACATGACAGGCACTTTTACCCTTAAAGTAAACTTATAGTGTATTTTACTTTATTTGTACTTTAGTTTTTCTACTTTTCTGAGATCAGTAACTTGTTACCAGCCTTATACTTTGAGAAATTTCTCTGCAGAGGCTAAATGTTTGTGTCCTGCCACCTCTTGACTCATCCTCTCTTAATTTACTCCAACTCCTACCTACTTGTACAAACCTACAGACACTAAAACAAATCAACAGTGTCCAAAAGCCTGCTTGATGATATGGTGGTTTCTAGTAATGTATCATAAACATGGTTGTGCTAAGTTGGCTACACATAGAAAATAATGGAATTACAGATATGTTGAAATCATAATGGTACGTAAATCACAGTTAAAAGATTCTTAATATTTTGCTCTTCAGATGACCTGACAAAGGCTTTCACTAAATTGCCATAGTTAGCAAATTTTAACTGGCAAGCAGACCAATTACACTCACTTGTCAAAGCCCAGAAGCCTTTTCCAGAACTCTCCTCTCTGTCTGGATCCACGTTTGCTTGCATATTGTATGTGAGAGTGAATTTGCTAAATAACAACAAAAAATATGCCTTTTCATTTGAATGATGAGTGTGGTGACCAAGCAAGCTTTTATGATGCCTCGTCAACCAGCAAACAAATGGACTGGACTGGTGTCTTTATGTGTGTTTGTGTATACCCAGTAGTAGGGCTTTGGGTGCATTAAGCTGGCTTTTTATTGCGAGGACATTGCCAACATGGAACAGAGAAAAACCCTAGGAACGTTACTTACTAACCAGTTATAGACTTACATACTGTAACCAGTGTGACAGAGCAATTCACTGTTAAATGCTACCGTGATTATAACCTATCATCATGTAGAAGAGAACCACACAAACAGATCCCCAGGAATGAACTTGACATATACAACATTAACATATGCACTGAAAACTATTCCAATTGGTTTGAAAGAAAATATACTGTAATGTAAACATTTGCAGAATGAACAACACTATTTTGTCCAAAACTATGTGTTTTGTGAGCGAATGAAGCACATCTTATGACTGCTAAACTAAAGAGCTTACCTGGGAGATGGTTATCTGTAGGCTTCTTTTCATGTTATGCTTGTATGAAGAGAAACTGTCAGAATATATTTTGTGTGTTGGAAAAGCTGTAAAAAGAAAAAAGAAAAGGTGTAATATCCATCAGGGCATTCGTGTGTGTGTATATGAATGTGGCAGAGAGTGCTAGTTGTGTTTCCAAACTATTTAGAGTTGATATGTACATTTAAACAAATTCTAAAGATATTTTATGTCACGTGTCAAAGGCAAATTTCAATTCGTACACTTTGCACTATTCAGTTTGGTCTGACCTTGGTGGCATTCTGATCTGTCTCTGCAAATTAACCTCAGAGCAGGACTTTTGATCCACATGATATTTGGACGGGTAAAAGCAGGGGCAAGGGGAATATAGCACATTGACATTCCTCCCCCTATCTGGTAATGAAATTGCTTAGCGCTATTGCATCCTTTCAAGCATTACACTGTGCTCGCTCATATGGATTTAATCCTGTTTAGAGAGGCTGTTGCTGAGGGCATTCGGCACAATGCCAGTTTGAAAGTAATCCATTCAGTCTTAAATAAGCTGGTCTCTTTCAAGTATAAGTATCTGAATCCGCTTATTGGAAATTAGCAATCAAAACTGATTTGAACATGTCAAATCTTGACATGCTGTTTACAATCTCTCTTGTCAATGTTCTGCATTGGTGTAGATATAATGTACACTAATTGCCACTACCAGTACTCTACCGGCAATTCTTCTGAAGTGAACAATTGATAATAGATTTGTTATCATTCCATGTCAAAGTGTAAATATCAGCCTGATCATATTGCTACAACATCCGGTTTCAGGTAACAGTATAATTCTGAAATAATGTAACTCAACAACCAACCCTAAAGAAATACATAAAAAAAACAGGCATGATTTTTCTTCTTGTTTTCATTCAATTCTAAATATTAGACAATAATCTCAAAAGTTTATAGGGCTTTATATTTAATTGTCCTGTCTATTTAACTGAAAGTGAAAAAAGCTAATGGTATTAGAAATTTACATTTAAAGCACGGTAGTACTGCAGGCTCAATTAAACTGAAAGCATGGGAGATAAGACAGAGGAAATGCCATTATCACACTGGCAGAGTAGTACAATTCTCACTGTTGACACAGTAGAAAACATGATCACTTCGATATGAAAGAAGGATTGTGACAGCTAGATTTGATGACCGCTAAATGTCCTTTACGCTGCTAATGGAGTGTCACTTGTAATCAAATTGCCTTGGTTTATCTTACAGAAGTACTATTTTCTAGTGACGACCTATAATACAGGTTTTCAGTAGTTATGTTGTATATGAAGTGATTTTTACATACAGTACATTTCATTGGTACAAGTTCATTGGTACACTTGGTAGCTTCTTAATTTAAACATAACCTCCAATTCACATGTGATGAAAGTGACAACCTTGTATAAAATATATGTAATTATATTTTCATCAAAGGCCCTCTGTCTGCAGATGTTTGTCCCAGTTAACAGTTTGTACTGTAGAGCTGCAATTCGTTATTGGGTTCATTATTAATTATTTTTTCCATTAGTCCAGTGATTATGTAGTCTTTAAAGTTAGCAAAACCAAAAATGTCAATAATAAAATTATAATATAGTGTTACCACCATAAACAAGATAATGGTTTTGAGAATGAAATGTCATTCTGTTTTTGAAGGACTACAAATATCATGGCGTAATTAAAGTCCATTATTACAACAAAGCTACGAATTTACACTTCAAGCTTACAACATCCCACCGCACTGCATATAAAAGGAGAAGGAAGCATTGCGGGCTCAGAGAGATTCTAGCTTCCTTTTGAAGTCACTCGTTCTGGTTGGGTGATGGAGCTGACGGTTATTTTGGGACAATGAAAATGCACTGTGATTAATGGTTCAAAACAAAAACTCTATCCTGAGCCGGTGTGTGTTCAGAGGACTGTAGCTGGGGAGCTGATAGTCCATCTGAGCCGACACCTCTAAATTAGTACTGGTATCATAGATGTATTATAGAGCACAGCCTTTACTTTATCACATACACTCACCACACAGAATAACACCTTAAATCAACCTAAGAGCCATGTCATTTGTGACAGTGTCTCCTGTAGAGCAGCCCACCAGTCTGATGTCATCCGATCTCAGTGGATGAAAGCCCATCCACTGGAAATTCAGAGGCACCTTAATGGCACCTTTCCGAAATGCTCACTCTCAAGGATTGAGCATAGACTGTAATTGGTACAATATATCTCACCTTATCTGTTTCTGTCTGGAATGAAAAGGAAGAGGCTCCAGGAGAGACCTTTTACTCCGGTCATGACGCAGGAGAGGTCACCAATATGTGGAGACATACCTCAAACATTTAAATGCATTGCAGGCTGCAGTTGTAAAGCTCCTTCATCTGCTGTGCTGTGTCATATTTCAGCAAGGTTTGACAACGCTGGTGCTTTACAGCTCACATAAAAGGCTCCATTTTCTTCTATCTAGCAGAGCCATTGTTGGGTGCTCTATCTCTTATCTCTGCTGTATTCATTTCGGGTACCTCACAGTAACACATTGTTCATTGTCACTGGCTTAAGAGATATTAATGAATGTTATTGCTCTATCCTCCATTTGTGTTTGGACTCAATCCATCTGTATATGACTTGGGCTGGATAATTTTCTGTGCTATAATTTCCTGTGTGTCGGACACTTTCTGGAACAATTATAAAGCAAGACCATTGTAATAAAACTGAATGACTACTAGATTAAAAGTTTTTGTGATATTTTTTCCTCCGAATAGTCATTTTGAATTATCCTGAAGGTAACAGTAAATCAGATTACATCTTTCACTTTCATCTGTTTGTCTCTGTCTTTATTTTTCATTTCAGATTCAGAATGCAGATGATGTGTTGATTACTCCTTTGGAAAAGTTTCGGAAGGAGCAAATCGGTGCTGCGAAGGTAAGAGACCACCTACATGCGCAATTAGCAATTGAACAGCGGAGGGAATCTCATGTGTTGTGACACCATTGCCTCTCATCCTCAACCCTTTCATCTCCCCTACAGTATGTAAATCATTAATTAAAAGTAAAACCTGACACTGCTAAAAGAAGTGGCTTAACCAGATGTATAAGGGGTATAAACAAAGACGTTTGCGAGTGTGATATTAGAAGATATTGAGACTTGCGTAAGAGCATGTATTTTGTAAGGTGGCCATATTGAACTTTCAAAAAATAACAACTAAACTAAAATCATATTTTACAAATAACATATTACATTTATGAATACATTACTATATTTCTCCCTGTGTTCCATTTCATGTATTTCTATGCATGTAAGTCTTCAGTATTATAGTGTAAGTGCTGTTTTCTCTTTAAAGATTTCCATGACCATGCAGCAAGGACATTTTTAATGCATTTATAATCTGATTACTGTAAATTTACAGTATCTAATATATTACATTCACCTTTTGTGTAATCAGATTACTTTAATTATGTTACATGTAATGTTTTCCTCCCTAACATATTGGATACAGAGGATTGATATCAGTAGGGGTTCTGTAGAGTGTTGCTTGAAGGCTTAGTGCCACGGTGGATATGTTGTTGAAGCTGGAGTTGACTGCAAAGAACAGTGTGGGCTGTTGCTACAAGCCATGCTTTCATTCTTAGCCAACGCAAAGGCAAAAAATGAAAGTACAGGAGCTTGTTTGTGGTCATTCCCTTGGTGAGATCACACATGAACATACTGGTAGAACTCAAGCCTTTACACAGATCTCCCACTGAGTTTCTGAGTCCACTGCTAACTCTGCATTTGATTCTGTGAATCATTTGCACATCTGTACATAGCCTTAACCCCTGTGAGGGACATTCCAGCCTTAAAGTCAGACTCACACCCATTTTGATTTAGTTTACATGACTGGACAGCCACTGGTCTGCGAAAGTATTTTAAGTCATTATGCTGTATTTCATTGGTGTCTTCACAAGTCAGTCACAGAACAGTTTCTTCTTCTTCTTCTCAGTGCTGAGGTGTGAACATCAATCACACTCATTTTTACTGGCCAGACTAAATAACCATTGTCGCTTCATGTCTCAACCATATATATCTAGCGTAATGAAATTGCACATTTTGCTGCCATCTCTTACTCTCACTCTCACTCTCTCGCAGTGCTCAGTGACTCTCAATGTTTATAAAATGGTTTCTTAAAAGCCACAGCCACTATCACTCCCACTACCTCTTATTTCCTCCGACCACTTCCTCCTAATGGCTCTCTCCTCCTACTGCCCATCCCCCCCTAAACATTAGCCCAACTAGAGTGAGATAAAAGGCAGACATCACGAGTGGCCGAGCAACTTTCCACTGTTCCAAGAATCTGGAGAGATCTGTAGGCTGTCTGACCCTTTCAGTTACTGTGCTTCATGTCTGAGAACGTCAGATGGACAAACAGGGGGCTCTTGCCTTATTTGGGTATACTGCGAGTAATCCCACTGAGGTTACGTACCAGTGTAGCAGCTTCTTAGGCACAAGCACAACATTTCCATGGCCATAACACACCAGCAGATTGACTGTAGAACTACGGGACATATTAGACACAGTCTGCTTCACACAAGGCTGAACCAAATGTTTTGGATATAAAACCCTCAAACTTTGCACAGTGTATAACAAATACAAATCATGAAAGCCATGAGAATTCAAACAATCATGTATTTTCACTGGAACATGGACTTACCATATGTGCTGGCTGCTAAACCGAGATGTAGAACTGAAATTATTGTTAAACCTTTTTTTCAGTTTCAGGCACCTTTTTGTGAGCTGAAAGTTGTTAACTTCCCAGGGAAAGAACAATACTTTCAAAACTGAAATAAGGAATGAAAACTGTATATTTATAACTTAGACCTCAACCATGGGCTTGAACCTTAACATAGACCTGCCGTTCTAAGGGCTGTGGTGTATTTTTTTTTTCACAAACTGAGAACCATGGGAGGTAAACTGCCTAAAGCTGGGTCCACGCTATTTGTGTGTGTTTGTTGGTTGTCAGATTTTCTAAGGCCTTGAAATTTGAACAACCCCAGGGACACTTTCTCAAGAAAATAACAGGGGGTGTCTAACTGGTGGGTGGCATTCCTGCTGTCTGGAATTTTGACAATATTATTTTCCCTTCAAGGGTCTTCAACATTAGGGGCACCATAGTGGTCTCTCACTAGCTGAGTGTGAAGAATTCGTGCAAACAGACCCAGATGGGAGTCAGATGGCCACCGATAATTTGAGCTGTCCTCATCGTACAAAGGGTGCATAGACATCAGATGATTCTTGGCTAGTTATCGTCTCCAGAAGCAGAAATGACATTTGCATTTGTACTATGAAATCCCAAAATGCTAACCAAGACACTGTGGAGTAAAGGGATTAATTAAAGTGTTTTGGGGATATCCTCACCACCTGTGAGCTACACTAAAACTTTTCAATCATACAAATTTGTACAGTATATTTTTATACTGTATTCAACCTTGGGATATGTGCTAAGTCAGTAGACCTAGGTAAATACCTATTTGCAAAAACCATTGGAAATCCGGGATGGAAAGCAATTGTTAGATTAATGCAATCGTTAGATTAATTTTCACTGCAATTAAATTGTGATGATATGATTGTGTTGTCGTTTTACAAGATTTGGGGGATGTTAATGCCCACAGGTTTAGTCTTGATAATATGACCTGATGGTGGCAAAAGAAAGAAACCTTAATATCTTACACAGAGTGTCTTTAATTGATTATCAAAATTCTAGTTGATTTAATATTTTTACCATCAACTAATTGCTTGAGCACTAGACTATTGTTTATGTATCATAGGCTGTGACCACAGTTGCCCACTGCACAGCACAGCAGTTATCCCAGCTGTATTGTAATCCGGCACAAGTGCAGCCACTGAAACACCAGCTGATCGAAGATTGAATTGATGTCCCGGAGATATGCAAATTAAATTGCATAATAAATGTTTTTGTCAGTTAATATATACGTATTGGTCATTAGCCAAAGAAATGCACACTGGAATAAGACAAGAAAACTGCAGTAGGCTTTGAAAACACTTCACCTAATATAATAATAATAAATATACAGTTTTTCGGCTGGCCCATCACTTTCCACTGTGCCCTGCCCAATAAAGCAGAAACACCATTATAACAAGATTTCGGAAAGTAATTACTTTTTCTCCTGATCACCAGAATTTCACAAGGATGTCAAAGTAGAGATTGAAAGATCGGACTTTACCTGTTTAAAGGCAGCAGCCATCCACTGTAAATATTTTTTTGCAAAAGCAGTATGTATTCAGATAGTTTATATACAAACGGTGACTTTGTACAGAATTGAATCAAAGGGCCTGATAGAATGGTAAGTCAGGAGTATTATACATTATTGTTATCATGTGTTATGTTGATTTAATGAATGCACAATGAAATGAAAAAACAAACAAAACATTGAGCTCTTTATTTTTTACTTTATTTATTTATTATCTGTTATAGCTGTTTACATCTTAAAATATGTGTTGTGTTGTTCATGTCAGATTTTAACTAGAGAATTCATGGATTTCTTTTCTTAAATTGTCAAATTTTTCAAAGACAGTATTATTCTAATAACCTTTTATCTAACTGACAGTATCTGCTGTGCATTGCAATTGAACAATGACTTCATGGACTCATTTGGAAGGATAAATTGGCATAATGGCTTGTAGTTTTATTGTATTTTCTTCCAGTGTTCTCTGGAGACGAAACGGACACTGAACATTTCCTGTCTGTCTTCACTGTATTTGGGTTTAATAAAGAAGAATTGTTGTGAAAATGATCTTGATAAATAAACCCAAGACTGGCCAGCAGTTAAAGTTCAATAACTATTGTAATCATTATTCTTCAAGCTGGACACAGCAACCATTAGGATGGACAGTTGAATGAAATGCATTACAAAACAAAACACAGTCTCGACTGAACTGACCCTTATTATAAATATTTAGAAGATTGCCTCAATGCTGACATTAAATAACTTCCTGTTACTTCAAATATAATTATGGTAGTCTGATGGAGCTTTTTAGTCATGGTCTTAGTCAAGAGCAACACTGACCAGTGACATAGTCCAAAACCAATAATCATTAGATGTGTCACCTTAACAAGGAGTTTCAAACTTCCCCATGATTCAAGTTGTCTTTTCCCACTCATTAAATCTCCGGTTAGGTGGCAAGAGCAAGGTTGGGCTGATTTTGACAAAGCCTAAGGGATCCCTATAGGATACAGTGTAGACCAGTGTAGAAGAATTTTTCACACCATAATAATAAAGAAGCCCTTAAGTGTTGATCTTCCGAAGATACCAGCCTTTTTCTCCTTGCAAGCTTTGCTCAGATCTTAAGAGTTAGTCTTAGATCAGATACAAAAGAAATATCCCTGTTCACCAGTAAAGTGTGCATAGTATATGGAGCTTTTGTACTATTTTTTTATTACTTTAGATTTTCTTACAGCATGTGTCGGAGAGAGAGCAGAGTCACTGATAAATGTTTATTTTTTAGACTAAAGCTTTGCAGTTTGCCACAGACACACACACACTAAATATGGTCTATTTATTTTATATTTTTCAACTCTTCACAAGCAGATGTTTGTAATTATTTCGTGTTAATTGGCCAAATTCTTGTTGCCTGTGATGTCTCCTCGGGAAGTAGGATTTTAGGTAAGGAGGGAGACATTTTTTTGGCTTTGCAGCAAAGTAACTGAACTCAAAGTGAAGCCTTGTGTTCTCTCTACCTCCCTTGTGGAAGCGAGACCAGCTCATGTGTGGTGGAGCATCAAAATAACTCGGCTATTGCTATTTAATCGCCATTCTGGACCCTTACTCCAATTAGCTTTCTCTAATGAGCTCAAAGAGATAGGTTACAAAGTTCTCCCTTGCATGTCACTGCTCAGAGAATCCATTTAAAATGAATGTGTGGTGAAATATGCTGCGCATGATGCTAGCCATTGATGTTTATATTATTCCAGGGTGTGGAAGTGTAGTGTGATGGTGTGTAATATCTGGGGTTCTTTCCTCAATATACACACACAGACACATTCGACCTCGCTTGCAGCTTACATCTGTTACCATGGTGATGTGAGGCTCAGAAATGATGGCCCTGAGGCTCGTTAGGGCCAGTGTCAAAACTGGCAATATACGGCTAGCGTCCAAATATTCCTCCTGCCATCTTCATGCCTGTACTCGGTATCCTTTCTTTAGCAAACTGACAACACCGGATGACCAGAAAAAAGCTGCCTGCAGTTTTTCTTACCAGTTTCCGTCTATGTTATATTAGCAATTAGCAAAGTCATCCATTCTACAGCTGGCATCAAAGCACTCTTAACGGCAACATGAAACTTGCCAGTTAGAAATTCCACTACAGAAGAATCAGCATCAGAATATTCTCTTCCTGCATCTGATTTATTCATGAGGGCGAACAAAGCAATCAGAAGAGGAAATCTCCCAAGTGGTAGGTTCATGTGTGTTTTGTGCACCACAAGTTGGGAAGTGCTTTGGCTTTATCCATTCCCGGCCAGCTGATTACTCTGGGGCGCTGGCATTAGTTTGTGTCAGAAACTCCCTTCACATGTGTGCTTCAGGGTAAATATCTATCCACATCTATGTCCTCTGCCACCACGTGTTGGGCTTCAAAGCCTTTTGCCTGCACTGCTCCTCCCTTCTCTAGGAGAATCTTTGCAATTTAAATAGCTCATATTCCACTCTGATTGCACAAACATATCCGGGGGCGTGGGGCGGGGGTTGTGCACACCACATGGACAAACCAACAAACACCTGGTGTTCTGTTAGGGTATCATTACGGTAGCACCAGTTTATACACGTCATGCATGGATCAAAACAAAGCAGGACACTTTAGGTGAGTTGATCAGGCAGGCTCTCTCTCACAGACTCATTGTAGCTCTGAGTCACTCCCCACTCTTTGTAAGTGTGAAAGAGTTAGTCCAGACTTATGGAGGAGGGTTTTTTGCGAGGAGTTTTCTGGCACGCTCACACTGGTCAGCAATGCTGGGTGATTCCTGCTGTGACTGCGGGGCTCAGCTAAACCAGAAGCTGTTAATTTAATGTGATCCCCTGTGTGTGTGCGTGCGTACGTGCGTGCATGCGTGCGTGCATGCGTGCTGGTATTTCCCCCAGGGCTTCTGCTGTATGCGTGCTCACAAAATAATGTCACATCAACAGCTTTCAGGATGCCAGACAGTTGGCTCCCCTTTGTTCTCTAACAAAAAATACTCAATCCTTAAGGGAAATTTATTTCCTCTCAGCGTGATATCATATTTAATCATATGTTTATTTTGCTTTCCACCTGTTTATTTTGTCTTTGTTTCTGAACAGTGTGCATATACACAATTGATTCTTTTTTCCCACTCCTAAAAAGATCATTCCTGGGTCAGACATGACAAGAAAGATGGAAATAAGATGCTACTACATGAAATTATCTATTGATTTTTGTGCTGTACTTGTAATAGTTATGTAGGAGTGTTACAGTGCCTTGTGGTGAATTCCTCCAGTGTGTCTAACTGCTGTGGGGGTTGCTGAGGCAGAACACTGTTCTCAGTCATATCAGTAGCTAGTAAATTAGACTTGCTAAATTTCAGGGCCATGGGAATGAAAACAAACAAGCAGGATCTGGTTACATTGGCCGTTTCCTTACACCCCACCCCCACCACCAACCCCTCCACCCCCACCCTTCCATTCGGTCTCTCCACTAACCCCTTTATCAATGTTTGCATAGTGAGATGGGCAATAAGTGGGCAAAGCTTGGTTTAGAGGTCAGACTTGCACATGAGATACTTGAAAGCCCTCACACAGACAAGTTCTGTCTGCTTGGGCAGAGTTTGATTAAGGCCTGCGAGTGGATCTTATTTTTGGGTGAAATGTTCAATCTCTTAGTCCATATGCTTTATAGATGGGCATCTGGCATGAAAAGCCCATTTCCTCTTCCTTCCTTAGAGCCTTCTGTGATACTGTCTGAATCCTGGGCCTCATGACCATAGAGCTTGACTTGTCTTTGGAGGTGGAGCATTACAAGAAAGGAAAATGCAAACAGCATCTAGCTAGTTCTGTCTGTGACAGTGCCAAATGCATTATGCTACTGATGATTTACAGTGTTGTGTATTTTGCTGCGAACTTATGTCCCCAGCTGGGCCACTGTGAGAATAGTAACGTATATTTCTCAGAAGCCCTATTGATAATCCATAGTCCTGATTGACCATGCCGACATTGTGTACTCGTCATTATACTGTCGTATGCCGCTTTTATGACCTGTAATAATCTATTGACAAGAATTTTAAATGACATGCGGCAAAATGCCATGTGAAAATGTAGTTAGACCTCCACCTAGTGGCAGTTCAATCACAAACACCTACATCAGGAGTGCATGACACATTTTTGGTAATGTTTAAGCCTTTCATGTGCCTTGTTGATCTTTTTTAGGAGGGGAAGAAGAAATTTGATAAGGAAACAGAGAAATACTACTCCACGCTTGAGAGACACCTTAACTTGTCATCCAAAAAGAAAGAAGCATATCTGCAGGAGGTAAAACCATAACAAATTTTCTGATCCCCAACATGTCTTTGAATAATGCTGTTTTATGGTTGGCGGATGGAGTGTCTCCTGTAAGTAAAGCTTGTGTTTGTGCACTATTCGTTACTCATTACTACATTACTTTGAGCACGCATTGTTTCCAGGTAGTGATGTAAGCTTGAACTCTCTGTCCACACTGTACTCTCCCAGTTTGACCTGTCTTGGTAATGGCACTAACCCTGGTTTGTTTGCTCATTCTCAGGCTGACATGCAGATTGATAAAGAGAGACAAGTCTTTTATGATGCATCCCTTGAGTATGTTTTCAAAATACAAGAAGTGCAAGAAAAAAAGAAGTTTCAGTTTGTCGAGCCGGTAAGAGAAGTATCATATTTACATATTACATATTTCTGTGCTCAGTTGGTGCTGAATGCATACTGAAGATGCAGTAATTGCTTTGCCTTTTTACTATATATGCAGATTAGTTTAAGTGACATATAGTCAAAACTGCACTGAATCTTTGTGCTTACTACTGATGCAAGTGACTTTTTAAATGTCTGTAGTCTCTTATCCTGAGTGAAAAAAGGCACAATTATACCTCTCACAGGTATATATCTAGGTTTTTTTTATAATTCTTATATCTTTAGAGGACAAGTTACCTGGAAACATTAAGTGTTAAATATCTGGGAACGTGAGATGGGAGCAAAGTGGCTGTTTTAAAAGCACATACTCCTATTTGTTTACATCCGCTGGCAGCTCACCCAGAACCCAGGCCAGAAATGTAAATCTTTAGGCCCCAGGTAGTGGTGGAAAAAATGACAAAGCTCAACCTTGCCTGGTATGAATCTGGGCACAGATGGTTCATCCTTGAACATTTGATATGCCAAGCCTCATTCTAGAAATAAAGTCAGTAGTTGTGTCTCGAGATTTGACTGAGAGCAGCTCTATGTTCGCGGGATCCTCCATCCTAGGATGGGATCCATTTTTTCCTTCTGCAATACTACCAGTGCTTCTTTCCACAATTGTTAAGGATGCTTGGTTGTTATACAGAAAATAAGATCAATATATGTCAGCAATAAAGAACTACAACTCTCTAAAACTTTCTTTTTTTTGGCCTTCATCGTATGTGTAATATTCAGTGCATCGACATGAAAATAAGTACAATCCTGTACAAGAATTAATTCGATTTTAACTGACAATGCAATGTACATTAGAATTAAAGTTTTACTCCAAAAGTATATATCCACAGTGAATGTGACATTTGCTCTGACAAAATAATTGATAGCACAGAATTTAAATAAATATATACTTTTTAGGCAACAGTATTATAATTAAATCCATGGATGAATGACAATTGTGTGATTGTAATGGTGGTTATTGTTGCTGGTGTTCAAAATGAAAGTTTTATATTGCAGTGTACATTTTTAAAATGTGCTCTCTTGTGTGAATTAGTAATCAAGCTTTATATTGTTTATTAACTCAGTAAATCACCCTTTAATATTGTTCCTCTCCAGCTCCTGGCCTTTCTACAGGGTTTGTTTACATTCTACCATGAAGGATATGAGCTGGCTCATGAATTTGAGCCATACAAACAGCAGCTCCAGTTCAACCTACAGAACGTAAGTCTCAACACCTCAGGGGTTGCACACAAAGGCAACCAGCCACGTAATCAGATTCTGCAGCTTATCATACCCTGATATAACAAGCAGAGTTTTCACTAATGGATAGCTGTGTGATTAAATGAGATTCTTTGCTGCACAGAGGATCAATATTTTCAGAGTGTTGTATTGCAGGCAGTTACTGCAGGCCATTTAATGGTACTGTGTCAAGGAAAAGAGTCCAAGTTGGTAGAAAAACTACAGCTGCTGCCATACCTCCTCGTTTCACCACCATGGTCTCACCCCCAGCAGCCTGAGGGCCCAAATTTCTGTCTGACCCAAAATGTCAGTGCCATTGCCCTGACAATTTCCACTCCATAGCCCTCTTTCCTTGTCTTCAGATACAGAGAGCTCTAATAAGGTGCTGGAGAAGGTGAGGCTGTCTCAGCATCTCTTTGGTAGTAGATATAAAACTGCCTCGTGCTGACCTTTTTTGACTTTAAAACACAGGGATTCTTGGGAACATTAACAACTGACTCTTTTAACAACCGAGTCTCTGTCCAAATTTAGGATCACCTCTAGTGCATTCATCCAATATAAACAGAATATATTTCAATTAGATGTCAGGTCTGTATTTTCAGATGGCTGGCCAGTGTGTTAGTTATTCTTCTCCCCAGGTGTTCTCATGCAGCTGTCAAAATATGAAGCATTTGTCAGATTTTTCCTTTATTTCGCCCATTATGCCCCTTGATATGGGCAAAATAAGGGTATTTTTGACATGAGAAATTGCAGCAAAAAATGCCAGTACACAAGACTTCCTCTGTTAATGCAATTATTATCCAATCCTACCTTTTCTGATTAGACACGAAACAACTTTGTGAGCACAAAGCAGGAAGTGGAGAAGCTCATGAAGAGGATCAAGTCTGCAGATCAGGACTATAAACCCCCAGGCCAGTGGACGATGGAAGGCTTCCTGTATGTCCAGGAGAAACGTGAGTCTTTCTAGCTGGACTCTCAGCCAGCCAGCCCCCCCCCCCCGCCCGCCACTTAAAAGTGCATGGTTTTACATCCATCACCATAAACATGTCTTGGGCTCTCCCAGGCCTTTGCAGAAGAGATCCTCTCACACAGAGCTCATAATTTATCCTGTTTACAGATTCACTTTCATGTGCTCTCAAACAAGGGGGAAGATACCCAAATCATAGCGTTCTATCAGCAGTGATAAACAACTTTTGATTTATCACACTTTAATTGCAAATTGATTTTTAGAAGTCCTTCCAGATGCCTGTGATTCCAAGAAAATATTTTGACCGAACCACTATTTTCTTCTTCATTTTCCTGTCTTAGGTCCTCTGGGATGCACTTGGACACGTCACTACTGCACATATGAGAAAGGCAGCAAGACCTTCACCATGAGCAACACTGAAAATAAGTCGGCCGGGAAACAGGTAGTTTAGTATAGTTTTTTTGGTTCAGTTTAGTTGCATATACAAATGATAAAAGCTAAGAAAAGACTGAGCCAGTATAATCTGTGTAGGTGAAACAAAGAACCCCTTGAGGCTTATAAGAATGTCTCACCCCAGAGTGGGAAAAAAGTCAAGATGACAAAACAAAACACTTGTTAGCTGAAAGCAGACAAAAATGGTTCAAAGATAACAAAATCCATAAATAACAAGAAAGGGGAGCTCAAGAAATGAAAAGGTGACTTGTTTTGTACACGATCAACTAAGCAGATTCACGTCATTTGCAAGCATTTCCGCTTACAAATGAATGAAAATTTCATGAGATTTCATAAAGATTAAATAATCAAGTTATAATATGTAATACTTTGTGTATTAGATCTACCAATCCTTTATGTTTATGCATTTACTAATAGGTTGGTCATACTCAATTGCTGTTTTTATACTTGTATAAACATTATCAAGGGAAGAAGTAAAGATGAAGGCTTCACAAGTGCATTTCAATTTCTGTCATTTCTAATTTAATTTTATATTTATTAATGCATGGTGTGTTATTTTTAGAACGGTCTTGTCCTGAACCAGGCGGAGATGTTCAAGCTGAAGTCCTGCATTCGGAGGAAAACTGACTCAATTGACAAGCGTTTCTGCTTTGATATTGAAGTGGTGGAGAGGTCTGTGACCGTCTGAATCATCTACATGTTCCCAAAATGTCTTATCACTTATATGGACTGAAAACATACACAAAACGTTATATGTAATACTGTTACCACCATTTTGTGTTATGTTGACATTTGTTTTCCATCAATAGTTAGGAGACAGCATTTGAAGAAAGCAATTCCACATTCCACATCACCAAATTCAGTATCAATAAATTGGCATGCTATGGTTTGTTTCATTTGTTTTTAATATACTATACAATAAATTAGAGCGGCTTTTGGGAAATGGAGTAAATGATAATAGTTACCATGGCAAGTTTACAGTAAAATAATACATTTTAGGCTAAACAAGTTTTTCACATATTCGCTGTCTACCAAAGCCCAAGTCACCCACATGGAGTCAGTGGTAAAATCATCTAAGACACACAATGGTTAAACAGATTTTTTTTTAAGAACTAACATTTTAACATTGATGAACTGCATGTGGGATGTTTTTTTCTCATGCATTTTGTGTTTTATTGAACCCAACTGATACTGGCAATTAACCCAGATTATCATGGGAGTTTAGATTAACATCTTCAAGACTCCCTGTTTACCAGATTTTAGATGTTTTCAGCTCTGTTTGTGTGCTGCATGTTCCCCTAGTCCTCTCCCTCCCAAGCTCTTGTTTGTTGTATGTCCACAACATCGATATTTACTCTATTTTTGAACCCATTCCGTCTTTTCTCTGTGTTCATGTCAATGTAGAAATGACATCTATCGTGGAACTCTTTTCAGACCGCTTCAGTTTTTCTGTAAAGTCCGGTATGTGAACTGACCACTGCTGCCCTTTCAGAGCAGTTGCATGTGCTGCATGTGTGCTGCTAATCGTATGATTCACTCAATCTCAAATCCCAGCCTTCTAATAAAATACTGTTGCCTTCTTAACACTTCACAAAATCAGACAACTCTTGGCATATAAGACATATTCTTAAATTATTTCTGCTTGTATGCAATTACTTAAATAACACATAAATGTATCTTATTCTATTCTTCATTTTGCCTCTCTTCAGAGTTGGCTGCCCACTGATTAACAGTGGTTCAGTTGATCAAGTTTTTTGTTATGAGAGCTTAATATGTGCTCATTATTGTGATGTGTATTTCAGAATATAGCTCTAGCTCAACACTTATTGTTGTAAAACACTAGTGGGGCCAGCACGGCTCACCCTAGGTGAGTGCTGCTGAGCATGGACAATAACTGCAGTTTATTTGCAGGACAACTCATTTATCATGAACAGCGATGCCCCAGGGTGCTTGTTCAAACCACAAGGACAATGTGGGCCAACTCTAGTCAGCTTCAAGCTCATCCATTCATCCTCATTATAATAAACATGCTATAACATTTATAGCCTGGCCAGAATCAGGGCAACCCATCTCAGAACCTCAATTTTAAAGCATTGGTTCGCCAGATTACTAAAAGGTAGTCAGCCATGCAAATGACTTTATTTTATTTGCCCAGATTTGAGAGATCCATCTCCAAATTTTGGTGCTCAAAGCAATGAAAAGTGTTATATTAAAAAATTCAAAAGCAAGATGTCTTTTTGGAAAAAGTGTTCCTGATACCATAGAAAATCCACAGACCTCACTGTCAACAGTTTTCATAGGGACTAGGAAACTGACAGGGTAACAGGGTCACTCTTTTTGCTGTTGAATCTTTTAAATCTTTTTTCAATGTTGTGAGCATCACAAATGAAATTCCTTCAGAGATAGATTTCTCAAAACCTGGTCAAATATATCCAATTTGCAGTTTGGTTGATATTACCTGTTAATCGCAACAAATGCAACTTGACATGGCTCCATGCTAGAACTAACTATCACTACTAGTTGGGGTTTGTTATTGTTTGCCAGTATCATCCCATAATGTTATTAGGTTACTATATCCTGTAGTGCTGCAGATAATGCTGAGACCAGTTTAAAGCACATGTAGCACACAGTGAGGTGTCGACATGAGACAAGAGAACTGCTATGCTGTAGAACACAGATGATGAACGTGTATGCATGTTGGGTGCATAAAAATTAATCACTCTAATAATAATCACATGTAGTGTATTTAATTGGGAGTGGAATGTGAAGCGCCAAGCCAACTGAGGGCACAGTTTAAAGTCAAGCATTTGCACATGAACTATTTTAGTCACACTAGTCCTTTTATAGTGGTCTCAGCCAGTGTAAACAATGTCTCTCCAGGGGCCCCAAGGCAATGAGATCAGACTGAGACCAGCTTTTCTCTGAAATCTTTCCAGGCATGGCGTTATGACACTGCAGGCACTGTCAGAGTCTAACAGAAGATTGTGGCTGGAGGCCATGGATGGCAAGGAGCCGGTGAGGAACTCTGCCTCTTTGTCTTTGAAAGATTCATTTTGTGCTGGCTGCTGTTTGGCCAGGATGTTTTTTATTTGTTTGTTTGACAAGAAAACAATACCATAACTGAATTATTTGTCACTGGCACCCTCTTCTGGTGGGTTCAAGTTAAGTCTTTTAAAGAAACAATGACCTCATCTTCCACTTGCGCTAATAATAGGACAGTCCTCTTAAAGTACAGGAAAAACTTAACGTGTGACATATTTCTCTTCTTTCTGGCATTTTGTTCCTAAGGGTTCTAAACTTAATGATGCTTTTTGTAAACCTTCTCTAGATTTACAACCTACCAGCCATATTAAGCAAAAAGGAAGAGAGTAAGTGTGTTTTTTTTAATCTTTCCAAACCCCTTTCATCATCTGAATGCATAAATTCAGCTTTCTAAAAATCTCCAACACACACACATGAAAACGCATTGTTTGTTATCTGTAGCTATCTCTGTTCATTAACACAATTACATGAAATACACCTACTCAGCTGACATAGTGGAGCCTTCCAGCACAGGGGTTGTATCTTCCTAATCGGAGCGCAAGCATAGGGGAGAGCTTATTATTCCTGCATGGTGCGTGGTTAACCCAGATGGTAATTGACGTGTCAACCTTTTTCTCATGTTGTATTACAGCATTTCTTAATGAGGCGGGCTTTAACTTTGTAAGGAGATGCATTGACCTGGTGGAGATGAGAGGTGAGGCATTTAAATCTGTCTGTTTTAATGTGAAATTACTTGAGTACAGCATGGCTGTGATTTTGAATAACAATGCACTTTATTCATTAGTGGACAGGACAAGACAGTGTATTGGCATAAGTCTCAACTGAACAGCAAATCTTTGTTCCTTTTTCCAGTCCTTTAATTTTCTTTTTTATCGCCACGCAGGCATAAATACAATGGGACTGTACAGAATTGGAGGGGTCAACTCCAAAGTACAGAAGCTGATGACCACAGTCTTTTGTAAGTATCATTTAAATCAGAAATAAATAACATAATAATATTTTCCCACTCACAGTGTAGAAACTACTATTTTTTAAATTAACTTTTTAAAGCATTAGTGTATAAACAGCTCATTTTGACAACCATCTTAAGTTGAATCTAGAGCTTTAGCAAACATAATGTGACCCTGCAGAGTGAGGAAAGAGGTCCTCCTTGTGGTGTGACAGTGTAACATCCATCTGACCTGATTACTTTGTCATTGCCTTATTAGATGAAGTAAAAGGTTATTTCAGACTTTCCTCTTGAGTCTCTGTACACAAGAAGAAAATCAGTGTTTCTAATGCCCATTTAAGCAGCCTGTCAGGTTGTATTGGTTCCTTCAGGGTGATTACTTACAATGTGTTTCCAATAGCATCCAAAGCACCTGTGGATATGGACCTGGATCCAGAAACGTGGGACAACAAAACTATTACCAGCGGTCTGAAGAATTACCTCAGGTCAGCTCGCCCCATCAGCTGTCCTTAGCTGTCAGGGATCATCATTATCTCCATAATGCCTCTTTGAAACCTTCCTGGTGTTAGTCATGCATTCAGAATTACCAATGACTCACAAAAGAAAGTGCATTCAAAAGACCTGTGTCATGTCAAAAAATGACAATTGTTGTCTTTATTCACCAGGTGTCTCTCTGATCCTCTAATGACTTTCAAGCTCCACAAGGATTTTATCATGGCTGTCAGTAAGTTATGAAAAGTGTAATACCTACAATATGGTAGATATTTTCCTACAGCTCTCTTTCATTTTATTATTCTACATGAAAGAGATTGTTAAGTTGGCAGAGCATGGTCAAATTCAAAACATACACCAGTAATGAAGCATGCCATCTGTTTACTGTAGAAAAGGTATATTTAAGAATATCTAATGGTAAATTGTGTTTGTGGCAGAAGATGAATGGGAAAATTGTATATTTTTATACTTATTTTGATCAAATAGAATTTGTATCTAACCTAATTGAGTTTGAACTAAAATACATTTCTAATGTATTAAAATTAGATAGCTTTGTGCGCACTGCATCCAGGCCCTGACAGTGGGGAAATCAAATGAACAAAGACTGAACAATTTCTGTATCACATAGCTCTCATGTCATTTCACACTGAGACGTTAAATTGGTTTATTTGCTTATTTTTACACATCTAGATATGGTGTCTCAAGTTGATTTGGAATTTGAAGAGTTTGAAGAAGTTGATGTGTTTTTTTCCCACCACAATTTGAAGTGGAATTTTCTATTTATGTACATGGAATTCATGTTTAGCGTGATCAAATCTTATGTTAAATGTTGATGCATAGCCACATTCATATTGGTCTGCTATTACCATGTCAATATAGTAATTACAATATAATATTAAATTAGCCTGATCATAGTCACTGTAATACTTTACAATTTTAATAAGCCTCTCGATCCTTTTAAATCGGTGTGCCTTTCCTCAGAGTCAGATGACCAGAACTACAGGGTGTGTGCTGTCCATGCTTTGGTTCATAAGCTGCCAGAGAAGAACAAGGAAATGCTGGAGCTACTAATAAAACACCTCGTCACGTATGTAGTCCTGTAATGAATCTGTTACACTGCAGCCCTAAAAACAGAGAGTAGAGACTGATTAAATTGTCTTCACAGTTCACAGAGGACACTTTAATGCATTTATAGGCGTCTCTAAAACTGTCAGTACCTGGTAGAGAACAAAACTGTCACCACAGTTCGGTTAAGAGTTATCATTATGGGCGTATCAACAGAGAACAGCATCTTATCCTTGTGTGACATGCATTTTCTCTACCTGCAGAGTTTCCACACAAAGCCAGCACAACCTGATGACAGTGTCCAATCTGGGCGTCATCTTTGGGCCCACTCTGATGCGGTCACAAGAGGAAACTGTGGCCGCAATGATGAATATCAAGTTCCAGAACATAGTGGTGGAAATACTTATTGAGAACTTCATCAAGGTGAGTCATTATTTGGCTTTGGACAGACAGTATGCTTATAATTATACCTGTATCATCTAACCAATACAATGTACATTTGATTCTTACTTTAAAGAACTGAGAACACTGAATATAGATACCTCTGGTTGTATTATACCTTATAGCGGGTGTAATGTAACCAGGACAAGGAGATTGCTACCTCGGTATAAAATGTTTGGCTAAATCTCTCTTTGTTGACAAAATTCTGGAGTGTCATGATATAGATCGCCATTTAATCTCTGGGTAGCGAGAGTCTTAACATATTGGTTGCAAACTTCAAAAACTCAATTTAAATACCAGTGTGTATTGATAAGGAATGCTCTGATTGTGTAGTTGTGTTGAATAATCAGTTCTCCTCTCTGGACTTCCAGATCTTCCACCAACCTCCGGACCCCAATGTGCCCCTGCCCCAGCCCCAGAGCCGGCCTGGCTCTCGCAGGAGCAGGGCCATCTGTCTGTCCACTGGGCCCAGGAAGCCACGCAGCCTCTACACCCCAACACTGTGCCTGGCTGATGCAGAAAGTGAGTACCAAAGCAGAAGTTATCACCACAGGTCATCACAATCACATCACAATTTCCCAAAACCTGTCAGTGGCCTTTAATATCAGACATCTGCACACACTGCATCACCACATTTCTGAAAGATTCACCTTATATTAGCTGTAAGTATTTTTAAATGGAAAGCCACAGTCACTTCAGCAGGTTTTAATGAGGCCCTTGTATGCCTCTTCTCTGGTCCCTGTATAGGTGACACTTTCAGCAGCAGTCCGAGCAGCACACCTATGGGCAGCATGGAGTCTTTGTCCTCCCACTCCTCTGAGCAGAATAGCTCTTCCAAAACAGCTTCCTCTGCTCAGGTCAAGGACAAGTTGCTCCTGGACCTCCGCCGAACGCCATCACAGCTCTCAAATGGCCCCAGGAGTGCTGTATGTGTCAGCAGCCCAGAGTCTAGCTCCAAGGAGGATGCAGGGCGTACAGATGGAGAGTCAGAGGATGCTCTCAGTCTGTCCTCAGTCAGCACCGCGCCCATGCTGTCTCCTGCCCCCAAAAAAGCCCCCCACTGCCGCCCTGACATCAGGCCAGCACTGTTGAACCGCTCAGCTGCTCCCTCTCTGAAATCAGTGCATATATCTGAAGGTAGGATAATCGTCAAGTAATGCCAGGTTAAGCTTGCCTTTCATTAATTCATTGATTTTGTTTCCCTTGCATGGAAAGAAACGTGATGAACGTGTAATTTGTTTTATGACAGAATTCATAAACTGGATGGTTTTAATGTTATAACTTATCCCACAAGGACTTAATACTGTGAAAGAGCGACAGCACCCCTTTACTTGAGCATAATATAAACAGCAGTGTTAAATATGATTTACAGAGCTTAGATACTTAGTGTGTTGTGTGAGCTGTTTTAGGATCAAAATGTTGTGTCTTTGTGTCATTTACAAAGAAACAGGAGTTATTATTTGTGTGTCTCCCTCAAGGCCGCAGGAGCTGCTCTGGATCTGTCCAAAGTCTGTCAACACTGGAGCCAAAAGAGCACCCAGACCTTCCACCAAAACAAATGATCCGCCGCAGGATGGACATCTCAGTCAGCAACGGCTACCAAAGACCTGGCTCAGTGTAATGAGTTTTAAAAATCTAATAATTTTACTCATTATAACCTACCACTTCTAATACTTATCATGTCAACTGCAGTGTAATGATATTTCATTTCATTATTACTCACTTAAAACGCAGTACTAATAATGAATTAATAGTATTTATCTATCAAGAAGAAATGTCAAACATTCACTGGTTCCAAGCTCTCAAATATGAGGATTTGCTGGTTTGTTTATATCGTTGTGAATATAAAATCTTTGGATTTTGGACTGTTGGTCTGAGAAACGTAGATAATTAGTTATTATAGTTATAGATATAAATAGAAGGGCAAAATGTATGTGTGCAGTTTTCTGTGCCCCAACAACATAACAACAAGTCAATAATGCTTGAAGACAATAGTTCTGCAGCATTCCTTTCTGGCTTCCTCCCTCTCTCTGTCTCTCCCCTCTGAGTCATCAGCCTCCTCTTTCGTCTGCAGTTTCTAAGATCAGATGAGTATGTGTTATGAGATTTATGTTTTTTCCTCTCTGGTGGGAGAGCTGGCTTTAATTACGCTCTGCCTGCTCTGGGGTTGATGTGACCCAACAACAGCCTGCACTCGTTCTCTCGGGACAAACAGATTGTTTGGCTTGTCATATCTGAGAAGTCAGTCACACGGTCTCTCAAGTAGTTTCCTAGCACCCACCCAGCTTGCCCTAAGCTCTGTGGTCCCCTTGACTCTGAGGTTGTTGCATGCAGGGTCAAGTGCAGCCCTGTTATATAGTTCTCAACTCAATAACTCAATTCACCACCGTGCTGAAGCTGAATTCGCCCATAGGAAGGAAACCTCCCATACTGTGTTGTTATACCTTTAACCTTGTTCTAAACAATGAGAAGTATATGGTATTAGAATTTTAATCAGTCTGAACATCTGATCACAGGACATATTTTCCTATGGGTGACTTTAAAACACTAAGTTTTTCAGCTGCTTATTTTGTCCTTGACACAATCACATGAAGTGAAGTATAATGTTTTTCATATTTTTTCAGGGTCGCTGCCAGAGCACTGCTTTTTGAAAATACCTCTTCCTCACAGTCTGTTCCAGTCGGAAGGTGCTGTAAAAACATGACTCCATCTACAACATTTTAACATAATTAATCATCACTGTCATCTCCTTAAAATCTGCCATGACAATGCCTGTTTTTGTTGTCTTTACTAGAGATGCCAAGGCGATGTATTCCTGTGAGGCAGAGCACAGCCATGAGCTCAGCTTCCCTCAGGGGGCGCACTTTTCAAATGGTAAGCATAGCCAATACAAGAAGAACATTATATGCTTCAGCTGACAATTACTTTGCTGCAGAAGTGCTCACAACAGCACAAATGCTTTTTTGCGTAGGCTGATATTTGAACAGTGTACACAGACAGTCTGTTGTGTACTGGCAGCACACAGCAAGGACTTGGCTAATTCCCAGTGTTATGTGGAGGGATGAAATAATTTTGCTTTTAGTGTGACACCCCCATATGCATTGCTGAAACCAAACAGCCCCTGGATTTTTTATTGCCTCTTGCCTTTTCCATGAAGAGATGACTTGGCCCGCAACCAGTGCAGGCAGGTCACTGTAACCTAGTAGTGGAAGGCACCAGAGCCTGTTCCCTGTTAACGGAACCAGCAGCCAAACGCCAAAAACGTCAACAAACTCTCCTTATCAGTTACCAGCAGACCTTAGAGAGTATATTAACAGTATTTTCTTCATCCTTATCCACCGTATCTTTGCTAGATAGCTTTAGCTGATCATTAAAGGCAAAGATTAACTTTATTTTTTTATGGTTGATACTGTATGTGTGTGAGTAAGGAAGATGATCCAATCCTGCTAAGATAATATAAAGAGGGACTGAATTTAAAGAGCAGTCTGACCCCAAGTATGCTATGTTTATTTTTCTGCCTATTTTGCTGCTATTCACCAAGTCTTTGAAATAATGTAACCAAAGACAGGCTCAGTGCGTCTAATCAGGTTTCACTAGATTAAGAATCTGCTTCTCTCCTCTTATTAGACTTATGCATTTTTTTTTCTCTCTTTTTGTCCTGTAGTCTACCCCTCTGTTGAACCAGGCTGGCTCCAAGCAACATACGAGGGAAAAACAGGTTTAATCCCTGAGAATTATGTCGTCTTTCTCTAACAAACTGGTAAACATTGCATCTTTTTCATGGTATCCATGGAAAAATTAATACACACAATCGGGTTGACTGTTGTAAGGAGTTCCTGTTATTGCTGGTAACTAACATTTCTGCATTTTATATGCGGTCTTAGCAGATATCAAGCAGTATAGTATTTGCTTTAACACTGCTAGAAGTTCGAAGTCCAAAAATGACTTCATTGTGAAATGTTTGGGGAATCTGCAGAGATTAAGAAAGTAAGAAGAAATAGGTATGACATTATTGTTACATGTAAATGCATATATTACCCATCAACTGCACTGATGTTTTTAGTCCCAGTATTAGCAGAATCACAAAACAATCACATCCTATTTCACAAGATTTATTCTCAGAAATATATTATATTTTAACTGCCCATTAAATCAACATAACACTTTCATCAAGTTGCAAATGAAAATCTGTAGTTTCATAAACATTTTGTATTAACTGTAACTGAATACACTGTGATTAAAAATAATGATAATAATCTAATCTATTAGAATCCATAATGGGTTTGCACCTTAACTTTCATGTTTATGGCCTGTGATCATTGATCATCCATTGAACCTGCTCACTGCTGCAGTGCACTTTCTGGTTAGCTACACAGTACTGTACTGTACAGTACAGTAATGCTAGTGAGCTCTTCTGTCGACGCTAATCAAAATATTTACTTCCTGTAACACTTTATTACTATAAATTATCACATCAAATATATGCCGAATGTAAAATGTTTTTTTTATATAATGTCATGAATGCTGTGTCCGTGAGGTGGAGCCTTCACATTTAATGCCTGTGGTACTGTACTCACTGGTACACTGGTGTACTAGTAATGACAACTAGACATGTATCAAATTATATTATGTTAAAGATGCTATTTCATATTTAATTTTTACAGTCACAACATTTCCAAAGTACAAAGTTCATTATTATCTAAAAAGAAAATAATCAACATCTTCAGTTATTATAAACTGAAAAATCACTCCAACGTAAGACATTCTCTGGTGTCCGAAGGTATTTGTGATCTTGTACTTTCCAAGATTAGGAGGTTCTTTTCCATTTACATCTTTAAGAATGTCAGGTGGCCTTGACCATTGATGCTGGAATAACACTCCCTTGCAGTCTCAATTTGCAGGAGCATATCACAGAAATTATATCCATATCCTGAATATGTAACATTTGACATACTTAAATTTTATACGGCAAGCTTGTTTCCTTGAAGTCATCCACTGTGTCTTGGAGGTGCATAAACATGTCTATAAATAAACAGTGATTTATTAGACCTGTGGTCCAAATTCTTTATCACAGTTAGTGAGTTTAACTTGTGCTTACTGCAGTGAGAAACTCTGTATTCAACATGTAAAGAAGGCTGAATAGTGAGAATGTGTTGTAAATGTATTAACCTTTGGTAAAATATAGTTGTCTCTTTGTGTTCTACTTTCCATGTTTTTATTACCTCTGCCAGGGAAGTTACATTTTGGCACATTGCTTTGTTTGTTAACTGTACAACTAGTAACAGATTTCAGTTAAAAATTATTTAGAGAAAGACCATGTGCGGAGGAGAAAGGGATTAATTATTTTTACAGATCTGCTGATACAGAAATTATAAAGGATTTCTGTATATTATGAAATGGGGCTTTTTTGAAAACATTTTCTAATTTTTAATTAACTACTGCATTCACTTGAATTAAACCTGTCACATGTATCCCATTTCTGTCATTGTGTGTATTCTGACGCAGATCGAGATGCAGATTTTTATGTTCTGTTATGAAAATAACACATTTTGGGCATTGTGCAGCCTTTGTGGAGATGTGCCCTTTTTTTATTAGTTATCTTCTCATTTTCCCCTATAGGTGCATTGAGTCACACAGCTGCTAACCCTAAAATAATTTGATTAGTTAAAGTGGCAGATTTCAGTGTCTCCCCTATTTGTCCTCTACTAAGAATAAAATGTTTGTGAGAAACACTGATTTTTATGTTTTTGTGTATTTTTTCTTGTTGGCAGCTTCAGTACAAAAATTAAGTATCTTGTGGTTTTCCAGACCTACTGTGTATCAGCTAATAAATACCATCTGTACACAAGTTGTAGGATAGGATAGGAAAGGGTGGATATACCATAATTATACAGAAGAGCTTTATTGATTGATGCCTCTGAATTCATAATATTAAAGATGGTCTGTACTAAAAAACATAATTTTTAAGGAATATGTTCATTCTGTCACCTCTTAAAGTAAAAGGGTAAAGACCATTAGAGGCAATTTGGCAAAGTATAGATGACTGACTACAATAGTGAAAGAATCCAGTAATTGAAAGATCAGTAATCCATTCACAAGATGTCTCTGCAGAGTTGCGATGTCTGTGCTTGCATCACTTGGTGTGGAATAAGAGGGGCCTCACCATGCCTGCCAGCACCTTGGGAAGCTGGGAGGCAATGACTTCTGTCATCATCTCTGGAAACTCCACTTTCATGGCGTCTGCCTGGATGAAGGTGCTCAGACAGAACAGGTTGACCTTCTTCACTATCTGTCAGAAAAGAGACATTCATATTTGTCTTTGTGCTCATTGCAGTAACAGTTAGACATAAATTAATGCTGTTGTACTCAGATTTAAGAGGGAGCCTACATCATGCATGGCATCCATCAGTTTGGTGAGGTGGTAGAATCGCTGTGAGCTGGCCACCAAGCCCTTCTCCCTCATGTGGATAGCCTTGGTCAGCTCCCGGATGTAGTTTTGTCTCATCTCTTCAAATATTGCCTGACTTTTGAGTCCCTCAAGAGGCACTGAGAGCAGACAGGGCACTTACACATTAAAAAGAATTTCTCTGAGCTATGCACTTTTAAGTTTAGACAAATAATTAAAAGCTAAACTAACTAAGGAAATGTAACAAAAGTTGGCACTTTTAGTGCAGTTACTGTAAAAGGAGGACTTGATAGCAACTGATGCATAAATCTTGTCAAGGTCCATTCACCCTGCACAACACTCCCTTTATTGTGCTGCTCTACAGTAGTTAGTTGTCATCAAAGCATCATGTCTGTTTGCAACACTGTATACTGAGTGCAGACAAACAAGAAGGTCAGCATAAGGTCATCTTGAGTCAAATTCAGTAAGTCTTCTGTCCTTTACCTGTGTTTAGTAATATAATTGCTTTCATGCAGAGAAACTCCTCACGGGTAACTTGAAGATTTGCAAACTCCTGAGGGATGAACTGTATGGCCAGGCAGAGGTCATAAATCGGAGATCTCCTCATTTGCTCCCTGACAGACAAAAACATAAAATTGTCGGTTTCTTTTTTTTCATCCAAAAGCATTGCCTTTTGAATGGATACATCGGTGGCATGTCTATAACCTCTTAATTAAGAATGATTGTGATTTAAAAGCCAATTCAAATTGCCTACTTTATGGCGCTTACTTACTGACTAAGAACAAGATCAGGTGCAAAGAACAAATACTCGCTAGTGACATTCTGAAAGGAGCGCCAGCCAAGAGAGAACACCATCAGGTTCATCCACGAGTACTGAATGAGGGTCATCTGATCAGTGATGTGAAGATTACGAAACCCTTAGAAAGAAAAGAAAATCCTATATTAGAGAGCGTTTCATTTGTCAGCATCTTGCATCATGGACAAAGATTTTAGGAAATCATATTTTATTTTAACATTCCAACTTCTCTCATATCCAATATTCATGGGATTACAAAGCCTTCTATCTCAGTTAGTATTTAAGGCTGAGACCTTCAGCGAGGCCTGCCAGTGGATCCCCATGGTGACAAGTGTGGTGACCCTGAGCTGCAGAGAGCTGTTACCTGGCAGAGACTTAGACCACTTGACAATCCACACCAGTTGTTTCTCACACAGACGGTTGAGACTATTAAGCAGAAGATGGGAAACATCGGACTGGGTGTTGTCATAACCACTGTACACAACCTCTGGTTCGATATTTTCCAGGACATTGATGATCTGTTGGGAGAGTTGCACCTCACGAATGCCTGGTATGCAAGACATAGAGGTCATGGCCTGATTGTCACTGGACATGGCCAAGTGGGACTGGAACATCAAGGACGGGGCCAAACCCAAAGCTTTCAAGGCCCCAAAACGCTTCAGCTTCCTGCCTGTGACATGAATACAAGGCCTGGTAAGATTTGATGACAACGAGCACATTTTGTGCCCATAACAGAGTTTCAGTGTTTTTCTATCCATGTCAAGTAAATTCATAATCTGAGTCATGAAATTGCTCACACCTGCAATACCTCTGCTAGCAAAATAATTCTGGAACATTTTAATTCATTACTGTCTTTTGGTCTGTGCTATGCTAATCGTGTGACTTAGTGCCAAGAAGTTTCATTTATGCCACATGGGTGTATAAGCTCAGTGCAAAAAGAAATACAACCAAATGGTACCTCCGAGCATCATTCCTGCTTGATAGCACTTTCGGAGACGACATGCAGGGCAATTTTTCCTCCGGATTTTGTCCACAATGCAGTCATTTCGCCCAGCACAGAGATAGCTATGATGGCCTGTTGAGTGAAAGGGCACAGTCAATGGATATAATTTTAACAGTACTTGATTTTCAAATACGTAGGGAGAAGGAGAAGAACATAATGAGAAGAGAAAGTGTGGAAGAGCTCTTGACTATTAACATGGCTACTCCCTCCACACAGAAACAGTGTTCTGAGGAGAGAGTTAAAGAAGGAAATTAGATGGAGGCAAGGCTGTGAGGACAGAGTGACATGGCCATGGTGAGACATAGTGGCTCTTACATATCTCGTGTGGCAAGATAACAAGAAAAACAGTCCAAGACGAAGAACACTGTGAACACTGCTCAGTGTGATACTGTTGCTAATGACCTTTTACAACTACCATAGAAGGCCAAATATGGTTAAAGTGAGGTAACTTCCTTTCAGTCACTGTAGACCTGTGATAGCTGATATTAAATTAATATTTGGCCAGTTACTCCTACTGTAATTTTGCTCTCTGATCACCAGAAAAAAACACTAAAGACATTAGCACACAAGGCACATTTTCATTTGCAGGCACTCTAAAAATCAAGTATTACAAAATCCAGCATGTATAATCGAATATAGTAATAACAGTGGGCATGAAACTACAGTACACTTGCACCAATAGGTTAGAAAAAAACAGATACACTGTTCCAGTGTAGATTGGAGTAAGGCTATGAAAAACAAAAGGGTGGGGGGCTAATAAAACAGTCACTGTCATTGACCAGATGTTAAAAGGCATCTTGAAATAGAATAAAATCTGAAAAGAAGCTTTTAAACTGTCTGCTGTTCCCGATGACTTAGTGTTTTCCCTTTCCTAACAGCCTTAACACAGTAGCCTATTTATGTGTCTTGGACAATATTTGACTGAAGGCAAGTACAAAAAAGACAATAAAAACCTAGAACTAATACTTGAAATAATTTGGAAGTTAGGATTAAACATCTCCACAAGTAGGTAAAAGGTTTTGTTTTCTCACCTTCAACTGCTCTTTTAAAAAAGACTTTACAGCTCCCGCAGGTTAGGACTCCATAGTGACAACCAGATGCCTCATCACCACAGATCACACACATTCTCTGAGGTGGCATACTGAATAAAGAAAAAAATCGATGAAATGTACAGTGGGCCTACATGAAATAGGCTTACTTAAAAAAATAAGGGGTATCAGAGTTTGATCCTTATTTGACCAAAAACAAAGCAATAACTAAATGATGCTTAAATTAAGCTCTTACATTAATGATGTAGGATACTTGTTTAAAGCTTATTTAAGAGGCATCTTTATGTTCGCAAGTAAGCCTAAAAAAGGACCGAACATTATATTTCTACAGTTACTTCAAGGTGAACGTTTATAGTAATTATATTGCAGTAATTACCCGGGGAATGTGGTAAAGGGCGATGGGTTCCTCTGAGACAGGGCCTGGTTCTGGATCCCATCATAGCCGCTGTGTGAGAAGGGGTCTTCGGTCACCCCTGCGGACTGGCACCAGTACTGATGCTCAGCCGGAGAGGTCTGAATCTGCCAACGGGGAACCTCGTTCTTGAACATCATCATTTGCGTGGTTGTGTGCCTGTTGGCATCAAAGTTGATAACAGCCTTCCCGGGCGAACTATCCCTGGAGTCAGCCCGGACCTGGCTTAGCGCCGGTAGCTGCTCTGACTGGTTCAGGTCGATCAGAAAGGTTGGAGATCCTTCTAGCCCCGGTCGAGGAACCGCCGCTGCCGGTGTGAAGCTTGTCGACTCACCCTCACAAAGCCCCATCTGCTGCTTTCTGTCAGTGTCACAACAGGTGTCAAAAACAGGTATCTCCGATGATTGATCAAAGTTGGGACAAGGGGTGTCCATAATCACAGATGGGTCCTTTTCATCTTTGATGAACTTACACGCTCCGGTTATCGAGGAGAGACTTAAATTTGCGCCTGGCAAACTTTCGGATGAGGCCACATTCGTCCTCTGAACATTTACAAAGTCGTCCCAAGGTACACTGTCACACTTAAGATATTCACTGCCACGGTCATAAAAATGTTTTCCATCAAGTACGTTACACTCTTTGAAAACTGCGCCGTCGACACTTGAATTTTGAACGTGGATCAGTGTTCCGGCGATTCCAAAATTACGCATGGAATTTAAAGACTGTGACTCGTTAGATAATTTAGTATTACTGTACCCAGCTTCAATCAAGTCTTTCACTGTTGTATTGGTGGAATCAGCGATCGAAGTACTGATGGTGCTCATCCTTTCGTTTATTTTATTTTCCATTTTCTGAACCGCGACGCGCACAGCAGAGACTGGAGTGCGCCCGGAGGCTGGACGGTGTGTGATAAACTGTGGCTCAGACTTTCTTGTAATCCTCCTCCCAGTCGAGGAAGGCTGTAACTTCGCCTTTCTTTAACGTAAGACTCTATTCCATATAATTTAGGAGCTGTTCAGAAAAGAATTATGACCTCTTTCAGAAAATAGATCTGGCATGTTAAATCAATTACAATATAATCCCTTATTCGGTTGTGGGTGTCATGTTTCAAAGTTGAATGGATATTATTTTCCTTGTTCACAGATTTCCAATAGCTTTTCTCATTCAGACTAAATAGGCAATCCTCCAAAGGTTGCAGGGGAAGAATCAATGCAGAGCCAGGCTAGAGAAATGTACACTTACATTTACAGCAGACCTACAGCAAAATAGCCAGCCAATGAGGAGAATGAGGGATGGATCACTTCAATGTCAATTGTCATTAGTCTCCACCCCATTCATAAGAGTGATGCACAACATGACCACAATTTTGGCCAAAACACTTTCACTAAGTTAATAATTATCCCAAAACTCATCCTTGCCAGCCCTGCTGAATTCAGCAGGTCAAGACCCAATTTTATTTGTCATTATTTGTATTTTATTATGAATGAGTTCTATTTCAGCCATGAGAATAGGGTTGCATAGTGTTTGTTTGTAACCAAGACCAAATTGCTTCTGTCCCATTTGTGCTTTGAAGCTTTATTTACCACTTTACACATCATGCAAACTGAGTGGCAGTTATAAATTATAATTGATATTTTGTAAATGTTTTGTTTTCCTGAAAATGTAATTTTTGTTGTTTCTTTTCTTTTTCAGATCTTTTCCATTTTGGCACATTTGCATCTATTTAAGGCTGCTTAAAAATGAAGTTCTCAATTTAAGCATTATATGTTTGACCAAAAGCACACAAATAGCCTTTGTAAAAGAAGAATATTTATCTACACATCTTCTGTAAGGTGGTCCTCTATATTTCATAAGGACATTGTGTCATAACAGCACTCTCGATTTCTTTGTAATCTGATTTACATTTCTGTTTTTTTCCTAGATATCAGAGAACATTTCACTATTCATGATAATCAGTCTAGTCGGGATGTTGCTAATGCATGTAGTTATGATGCACACACAGGCCTTGGCCCTCTCTCCTGCGTCATCTGTTTGATATCAGAGAGAATTCTCATGCTGTAGCCTACATAATTCTTTGATAACAGTTACACATTCATACACTGAACAAAATTATAAACGCACACTTTTGTTTTTGCCCCCATTCATCATGAGCTGAACTCAAAGATCTAAGACTTTCTCTATGTACACAAAAGGCCTATTTCTCTCAAATATTGTTCACAAATCTGTCAAAATCTGTGTCAGTGAGCACTTCTCCTTTGCTGAGATAATCCATCCACCTCACAGGTGTGGCATATCAAGATGCTGATCAGACAGCATGGGTATTGCAAAGGTGTGTCTTAGGCTATTTCTTTGAGTTCAGCTCATGATGAACAGGGCAAAAACAAAAATGTTGTGTTTTTAATTTTGTTCAGTATATCTACATGATGTGTTCTTTAAATGGTGTAATGGTCTAGTTTCAGAAAAGGTTGCAAAATGTGACGCTAATGGCTCATGGTAGACCATCAACAGCCTTCAATTCTTGTGTAATACCATTTTGTGTAATCCCATTTTCTGGTACTTTTTAAATCAGCTGTCTAACATTATATACACATGGGGTAAATGGGCATCTCACTGGGCCTTGTAATGTTAATCTTTTTCATCAAATGTTTTGTGGTTATTTTATCAGTGTTACTCTTGTAATAACTGCAATGTTCATCCCTTAGTCTTCCTTTCTGTAAATGCTTCACAGTAGCTGTGTTCAGGGACTGCTCAGCTAAGTCTGGTAGTAGGGTTTACTCTGCTGGGCTGACTGTAGACTGTAGATAAGCTGTTTGTCTACCGGTCAGACTGTTCTCAGACATTTGTCTTGCTTCACTGCAAGCGTGAGCGAGAGCACAGAAGCATCTGCTGCAACTATTTCAAAAACCCATAAACCCTCTGATAAGTGAGGTGAAGATAATCAACATAGATTTTAATTATATTCATTAAACATTATGCTTAAGTGATCAACATTTTAATAAAACACAACATTAAAAAAATAAATAAAAGTTAATGTCTTGTATGAACATTTAAACCAGAGTACTGTTGACTGATTTTCATGTTACATTACAGAAAAAAATAATTATCTCATAGTTATTACCAACAAGCTTTAATTTATATTTTATGTTATATCTGACCTATGAACCTGCCACTGCACAACAAATGCTTCTTTTTTAATGCTTTTCTACTTCAAATCACCTCTACATCAAACCATATAAACAGCTGGTAACAGGCAGTACCATCATATGTTAGCTGTCAGTAGTGCATATTAGTGTAACAGAGCCTGTGCAACAGGACAAAAGTTCCATTAGTGCTACCATGTGATAAACTGTATTCATACAGGGACAAAATTTGTTCCCTCCCAAAGTGATATATTTCCACTAAAGGAAGAAATCAAATATTTTTAAAAATATTTAAGAGTGCAGTGTGTCAAGTAAATACATCCCTAATATTTTAATTTGTTAAGAAAGTAGTGGCGGTGGCTCCCAGCAAGAAGGTCGTGGGTTCAAACCCCGGTTGCCCCGGCCTTTCTGTGTGGAGTTTGCATGTTCTCCCCGTGTCTGCGTGGATTCATGCAGGCTAGGTTGATTGGTGTCTCTAGATTGCCCTTGGGTGTGAATGTAAGTGTGAGTGGTTGTCTGTTTCGCCCAATGTCAGCTGCGATAGGCTCCAGCCTCCCACGACCCTGTACACAGGATAAGCGGTTAACGATGGATGGATGGAAGAAAGTAGTGTGCTTGTTCTTCTGCTCTTATTTCTGCTGGACATGCATGACTTCTCCCAGTTGCCCGATGAGCTTTGCCAGTGTGTCCATGTCATGGTTTCCCCTCTCCAGCAGCTCATAGCGGAGACTGGAGATGTCCTGTTTGATCTCTTTCAGTTCACCCTCCTTTACTTCGTCATTGTCTTTATCTCTTTGTGCTTTTAAGATGTATCTTTTGATGAGGTGATTCATTGTTTTCTGTAATAAAGAAGATATTTGAGTCTTAAAACACATAACAGATATATATATATATATATATGTATGTGTGTGTGTGTGTGTACAGACATACTGTATATAAAGTCTCCTTTGAGTTCTTAATGTGGAATATGAGTTATTAATTTTTTGGAAAGACAATTTGCTCCATTCAACAGTTATTAACAGGTTAATCAGCATTAGGAAATCAAAACTCAAAACTTTTACTTGATGACGTGTTGGACAAAGGGATGCTTCTGCACTCAGATTTTCCTGTTGCCTCAGCTAAGGAAGATAACCAAGGAAGATAAGAAACACTGTTATGGGACACATTTAAACCTGCAACATATAAATGCGACACAAGAGGGCCCTGTAGACCTGTGTCAAAGAATATAGGTCAACTTCACTTGAAGTACTCTAAATGTCTCTAGCCATTACTTTTCATTCAACAAAATAAATGTGGTCACTTCCTTGTTAGAAATATAATTTGTGTCAGCAGCTGAGGCCTGACCTTGTTAAGCTCCATCTCATCTTTTGAATTTTCTTTACTTTTGCCTTGAGGTACATCCCAGAAATATTCCCTTATCCCCAGCCAAAGGGAAACAACAGACATGGGGCTGGGTACGAGGTTGAAGGGTACAGGCAGTGTGCCACCATGCTCAAAGTACGAGAACCAGAGCTTAGTTCTGGCAAACTTCCACTCAACATCAGCATCGTCCTGCACCAACAGAGAAGAAACAGTAAGAAGGGGTAAGAGCCAATGGAAACATTTGATGAGCCACAGGTGAATATTTAGTTAATTAATTTGCATTTCTAATGTTAAATTTGCAGTATTATACCAAATTTACAGCAAGTATCATAAACTGAACTGAAATTTGACAATATAAATCATCTATGAAAATTTTGTCAAATTGAATTATTACCATAACAAGTATGATCTAGCACAAATCTTACAAGTTACAAAAATTAATACTAATTTAGAAATGTGGATGGTTAAGACGTACCTCAATTTCTTGGAAGGAGCTGTTGAACATGGCAATGAGCATATTCAGCAAGACAATCACCATGATGATGTTGTACACCCCGTACAGAACATAGCCAATATTCTCAATGAACTTATGGTCAATGTTAATGACCACTGATTTCACCTCTGACAAGCCAAAAATGGCCCAAAATAAGGTTTTAAAACTCTCTTCGAGCCTGGAGGATTGGAGAGATGGGAATTAAATTAGTGTAGTGTAACCAATGTATTAGTCTTACATCATATTAATTTAACACAGATTGTGTCCAAAGGCACAACTGGAAAATATTAAGCCATTTTTCAAGCTTTTTCAGGCAAACTGCGATATTGCAACAGTCCATAATAGTCGACACTCACGTTGTAAAGGCATCGTTGTGCTTGGCTCCGAGGTAGTATGAGTACAGAGTGAACATTCCCACCATGAAAGCCACAAAAACTGTTATGAAAATCACCATGAACTTAAAGATGTCTTTTACTGTTCTTCCCAGTGAGATCTGCAAAGGCCCAAAGCTCTCATTGGCAGGCAGGATGTATGCAATGCGAGAGAAACTCAGCACAACTGCAATTGCATAGAGGCCTTCAGAAATAAGCTGCGGATCTGAGGACACCCAGTTGATTCGAGCTGAAAACAAACAAATGCTGAATGTGTCCGTTTTGATTCAGTCAACTATCATTCCAATTTGATCACTAACTGTGTATAGCACTCATACAAGGAACTACATTTAGTCTGGGTATTTTATAATGAATTAGCCATAAAATCAAGTATCCCTTTATTTTCTTGGATTTCCTGTTCTGGGTGAAAATGTTATCTTTAAATAGACACCTATAAGATACCCAAGAATACTTAATAAATAAATAAATAAATAATAATAATAAATCTATATCTATAACACTGATGAAACCTAAAATTCAAGTCTGACCCAGGATATCCTCTCTAATAACTATTACGTTTAATTTTAGATTTCTAAAAAATATTTACTGAATAAATAATTATAATACTTGAATTCCTTTGTCCACACTTACCCAACTGGAAATACTGTATCTCAGAGGGCAAAGTCACGTTGGACAGGTCAGTATAGTGCTTGTCAACATAACATTGTGCAGAATATGCATGCCAGAAAGCCATTAATCTGGCAACGAAAGAGGTCATAAAAATGGCCAAAATACTAAAATCAAGAAGGTTCCAGGGTTCTGAAATGTATTCCCGGATGTCTTGCGACCAAATATCTTTACATTCTTCCCAGATCTTCCCTGTGGGAAAAAAAATCACACATGTTTGACAGTCACACTGTTTTTTCTCCTAAATTAAATAGTGGCTGAGGTGATTAGCACATGTATGAACATGATAAATACGGCTCGAAATAATAGTAAAATCACCCATGATTTTTGATGTACTGGTGAACCATGCACAATATGGTTCCAAAGTCTTGTCTGTAGAGTTGTCTAGTGTCACCTTGCCTTTTGTGTCTATATATATTTGTGTGTGTGTGTGTGTGTGTGTGTGTGTGTATATATTTGTACAGACATATATACATACAAACATACATACATATATGTGGGCAATTTCCTGGCATGATTTATGGCAGGATTTATAACTCCTTGTAATATCCTTGACCCTGAGTGATGTAATTGTAAAAGTGTGGGAGCTTGACTTAAACTATGAGTAACTTCAGTCAGAAAGATGGGGAGGAATAAATTAACATAATGAAAAGATATGTTAACATAAGACAAAAATATTTGACAGCTATTTGTGAATGTATACACTCATTACCTATGACCCAGGATATGATTAGAATCTCCATCCAGGTGAAGGGGGTGGTCTTCATACGAAACAGTTGTGAGGGGTGATCATGGGTGGTCATGTTAGGCAGCAGCGATGTTCCATCAAATCGGTCTGCCGCGTTTAGGACCAGTAGGCAAAGGAATATCATAAAGGAAGCTGCATGGGCCACAAACTTCAGGAAAGGTCCACACATAAGTTTCCCTAACTGACACAAGTCAGGGAATGGCAAACAGAACAAAGTTTAGCATTTTTTTGAACTGCACCATGCTTCCCAAATGAATCTCACATGTTATGGTTACAGACTATCATCTTTGCACACAGTAAGAGATTAGTCAAAATTGAAGACCCTAATCCTGACCCCAACCAAATTGCAAAAACCTGGCAAGAGCTTGTCCACATTAACAAAAATTTGGGCTGGATTCATGGGGAAAAGGGTGTGATTAAAGGTTCTGCTATCGGGGGGTTAAGAGTTCCCTTTTCTATTCTTACAGGTGAAACTACCGAGCGAGGCCAACCAAAGGAGGGCAAAGTGAGAGTTCAAACGGCATGATGAGACATAACCCATTAGTGACATGGTATTTTTTGTACTTACAAAGTTGGTATCAGTATTTTGAAGTATATCACATAACTGGCATATCCAGTATCACAAGACCAAAATACTAAACAGTCTTCTCCAAAGCAGTATAGCGAAGGGCAATAGCAGTCACCCTACCCAGATTTAAACACAGGTCTACAGGGTACCAAACATGCACCTTTGACCACAACGCCAAAGAGCCAGGCTCATTGGTGTGGCAGTCCAAGTGCACTCTCAACTGTATGAGTGACGGTACTGTGTCACAAGCAGTAAGCAGCAACATGTTGAAATGCAGACTAAACAAAAGTACTTGAAGCAGTCACCCAAACCAGAAGAAGAAACACTATTGAAATATTATACAAAGATAACACAAGTAAACACAAAAGGCAGTTTTTAAAGGAAGGAAAAAATCCAAACATGGAGCTGAGTGAAAAAGTGCCTGTCAGTGGCTAGAGAAACTGAACTCAGCTGTCCAAAGATGTGATGAACCACAATTAATTTATGTTTTAACACAGTGCCAATGTAGGTTTAGATTTGGATCAAAGGAGTATCCCTTATCCTGAGTGTTGACCTGAGGAGTTGGCACTTCTGTGTTCAGCCACGCATTTGTGTAGTGGTTGTTTCCCTGATGTACTTGTGACACACATCCCTGACATATTATTACCATGAAAAGTTCACTCACTCAGTCATTGGGGGGGGGGGGTGGACAGGCCAGACCATCCGCTATCCCAGCGGACAGGCCAGACCATCGGAGGGCCAACACATATAAAAACAACCACTCACACCTGAGGGCAATATAGAGGATTCAATTTTCCTAGCCTGCATGTTTTTGGGTGTTGGCGGGAAGCTGGAGCACCTGGAGAGAACCCACGCAGACATGGGGAAAATATGCTCCACACAGAAACGCCTGGGACAACTTAGGTTGGAACTCAGGCCCTTTTTGCTGTAACCACTAACTAGCAGCCTCACCATATAAAGTTATTGTGACTAATGTGTTAGCAACATTGGCCTATTTAAATGTTCAGCAGGCATGGAGCAACATTGGAGTCATTTCAAATGTACAACGTTCACTCTTCTTTTAGCTCTGCTAAATGTGTTTAAAATGTTTCCTAAAAGACAATCAAGACAATGAATGCATAACCTAACAAATTAAAATAATGTATGACTGTTTTGTAACTAACCTTACTTGATGGTGCTATCCAGCACATAAAAGCCAGGACAGGCATCCCAACAGCTACACCAAGGACAAGAAGGATTTTAACGGCTGTGGTTTGCTGACGTACTCCAGACAAGTTCTCATACCAGATGGACAGAAGTTGCTGTTGGCAGTTTGGATGTGCCACAAACTGCTCACGGTAAAAAAAACAACAACACATGGTTGAAAATGAAAACAAGTGCATCAGTTCTAATCCTATAACTTATAGTGCTTTTCCTACATGCTTACCTTTTTAACTTCATACTTTATTGCAAGTTTTAACCTGAGAAGGTTTTGTCTGCCAAAGGTTTCAGAAATTTGACATGATTCAGCGTCCCCATTTAAGATAGCCTTCACTTCCTCTGTGTTTCGACACAAATCTAGGAGTCCCACCACAAAGTCTTTACACTGCATGGACAGTTTCTTGTAATCATTCTGTAACAGACAATGGCAACATTTATAGTGCTTTATTCTTATACTTTTTTGAGCCACTTATTGCCTAAAAACAAACATATTTGCAGCCTTCAATTTTTTTAATCAGCATGATGTGCAGATATTGTGTCTGAAATTTTAGTAAAGTATCAGGTAAATTTAACTTAAATACTGTACCTTGAACTCCTTCTCAATGTTGGCCAGAACTGCAAGCTCATTGCCCAGCTCCAATGCTGCCATCACAGGGTCTTCATTGGATAGTGACAGATATGCTGGACTGGCCAGACCTTTATATGCATTGATGCGGGACAGTGAATGGCTAAATAAGTCATTCCTCTGCTGTTGGGTGCAGATCTTGCACTGGCAGAAGTAGTCATGAGGCCGCTCTATATAGGCCCCTTTCATAAGAAGGATATGCACGATTTCATATTCATGGCACTGGGAAGCCAGGATGATGGGTGTGATGTCACGAGAGAAACGTGTGCCATCCTCATCATAAGCAAAGAAGTCATCATGTGTCTCCACCTGGCTAGGACTGTTAGTCAGCCTCTTACCATCTGCAAAGGCCTCGTGACTCAGTATGGCCTCCACTATATGGATGTAGCCTTTACTGATGGCTAACAGCAAAGCATCTCCTATTCTAGCGAGGTCTTTCTTCCTAAGAAGTAGCTTAGTGACCTCTAAATGTTCATTGGCAACTGACAGCTGCAATGCATTCTGGCCCATGTAGTTCACACAGTTGACATTGAGGTCTGGCAGCTCCTCCAGCATCCGCTTCACTTGAGGAATGTTGCCATATTCTGCAGCATATAAGAAAAGTTCCTCTGTCATGGAAAGGCAGGAAGAGGACTGAGCATGACACAGGTAACCAGCTCTCTGTAAAGCTTGTCGCCGGGATTTGGCCACGACCTGCTGCTGCATGATGGCTCTCCCTTCATTGCTCCACCTAAACACAGATAAACATATTTTAAATAATATAATATGATTATCATATGACTGAAGACCATATCTGTGTAAATGTATTAATGTATGCCAAAATACTCAAATTTCTATCTCAAATCCATATCACACAAATGTCAGGTTAAGTAAGATTTACTTATAATTTGTTACTAAGCAAACACATTACTTTATTTACTCTACTGGTTTAGGTAAATGAACATCAGCTCCAACTGGGGTGGTGATGGCGCAATGGATAAGACACATGCCTTTGGTGTGAGAGACCTCGGATCAACTCCCCACTGTGACCTAAGAAGTGAATGGACACCAGTGCTGAATAGACAGCTGGTCTCAGATGAATTATAACTCTCGCTCCATGTGTGACACCACCCATGAACTCATCATCTGCTCTTCTTCATTTCATGGCTTGGCACTGTCTCAGCTTCTGCCTGATAGCTGTCATTGTTCCATTTCTGGAATAATATACGACAATGTCATCAAGTGTTTGATGGTTATTCCAGTGGTAAACTTGACCCTAACCCTAACCCCAAAGTACACCATTCATTTGACTAAGACCATACTACCATATGACGGTGACTATTTTTAATAGTAATGATATTTTGTGTCATTGTCAAACAAGTAAATCTACTTTCTGTTCAGTAATTTCATTTGAATAATGTGGTTATCTCAGGAGGTAATTGCTCACAGATGATCATAGATGATGACAACGTTCCTTCATTCAATCAAAATTAGCGTTAATAAGATTTTAAATAAATGAACAATATATTTACAGAATTTGTTGTAATACAGACTGTCAAATTATGAATCTTTAGTATCTGGTCTATGTCAGCTGGGACAAGATAAAACGAAAAAGGTGTCATGCAGTTCAGCCAGGGAAGATGCAAAAATCCCAAATAAAATGGAAAGGGTATGATCATGAATCTGACATGAAAAAACTAAACCTGTTATAGTTTTTGCCTTTAAGATGGCATAGACAGCCGCTCCATGTGGATTTACCTGCCTGGTTTTCTGAGAATGCCTTGTTGCTTTTGTTCTGCTGCTCTTCTTCATCATGCCAGGCAACTGTTTTTAGGGGAGATGTAAAAGCAAAAATAAAACGTCGCTATGGCATGATGAAAACTGACCGTTTTATCATTACTTTAATGATGCACTGTATGATAGATAGCCTACTATTCTTCTGCAATTAACGCCATTAGCTGAACTGTGTACATGTGATAATGACAATAATATGTAGTAATGTAATTTTATAACAAGGAGTCATGAAAAACTGGATACCGCAGGTTAAGACCAATGAGCATTAGTTAATACTGTTGCTCATTTCAATATCATGGGCCTTAGAAACCTTACCAAACACACACATTTCTCAATTGTTAGGCTATTAAGAAATAAGACACGGAATTTCATTATGTTCAATGTGTATCTTAAATGTTTCACTATAAAAAAAAGTCTAACAGCAAGGTCCACTCACCTCACAGAAGATCGATGTCACATAAAACGTCACTTTTACTTCATTAAGTCGTTACGACCCAAAACTACAACCAAAGGTGACCAGCTGCTACGCATGTCCTCGACTCACGTCAGCCTCTTGACCACCTGTCAGTCTGACTCTCCCTGCGTCCCACCTTGGGTCTTCATGCTGACGGTTTTGCCTTTGCACGCCCAGTGGGCGGTTTTCTAGCAGCAAAATGTGTGTTTTATAACATAGGATGTGCGCATTTGGTGAAAACCTATAACTGTTCATAGCCTATTTCAGTTTAATTTCCTTGATTTTCCCTAACTGTGACCGGTAAGTCCAAAAAGCAAGATATAAAAGCACTTTGTCACACTAATAGAGGATTTAAACACAGCAGAACTGCACAGACTTAACTTGTGTCATAAATTGAGTCAGAAGGCTAGGGGATTATTTTCTTGAGAACTATTTGTAATTGTCAGTGTGCAGGCTGCAGGCAACACCACTAATACTCTAAATGGTGGTTGACACACTGAAAATTGATTATTTGATGCAGTGGGAGAGCATAAACAGATTTTCCTAAATCCTCTTAACTCATGTTGCCGTCAAATGTAATAACAACACACCTTTAAATTTATTAGATGCGTCATCCCGATGGTAAACTGGAAAAAACAAGTAGGCTAGCCTATGAGAAGGTTACATACAAACTGTTTAAAATGTAGGTATAGGTTGGCTAGAATTCTCTAAATATAAAGCCTATTTTTCACAAATTTCATCACGCACTAGGATGGGTCTACATGGTTAGCTAGATGTCATTGCAGGAAATGTGTTTTACTGGGCTTTCTGATTTCTTCTCGCCCAACCCTGCAAAGCCGGTAGGCGAATGTATAATTTATCATTTCCCTTAGGTTTACATCATCATTTAGCACATAGGCCTATCATTTATAGGATTTTTTTTGTTGTTGTTTTACATTAAATAGCATTTATTTTAGTAGGCTACGAAAAGCACTATACAAAATTTACTGTGTTAGGCCTACATCTGCACCTGAAGGTATGTAGCCTATGTCCATTGTTAAATATTTTGAATAGGCTACAATCTGTCAGGTCTCCCAAAACAAAAAAAAACCCAAAATGCTTAATTTTATGTTAATGCCCTGAAATCCATGAAAACATAATTTGATCATCATTTTAAAATCACTTTGTGAAAGGCTACAATTGATTTTCTTAAAAAAAAAAAAAAGAAAAAAAGAAGGTGGCCAGTATTTTGTTAGGTAAAGTACTGCCATAATTCTTCGTGGCATACTTTCAACAAGGTGATGGAAACATTTCTCAGAGACTTCGGTCCATACTGACATGAGAGCATACGCAGTTGCTGCAGATTTGAGATCTGGTGACTGTGAAGCTCATTGTCATGTTGAAGAAATCATTTAGCGATGATTTGAACTTTGTGACATGGTGCTGCTGGAAGTAGCCATCAGAAGACGGGTACACTGCGGTCTTAAAGGCATGGACATAGTCAGCAACAATTCAAAGTCACTCAAAACCCCTTTCTTCCCCATTCTGATGCTCGGTTTGAACTTCAGCAAGTTGTCTTGACCACGTCTACAAGCTTAAATGCACGGAGTTGCTGCCATGTGATTGGCTGATTACCTATTTGTGTTGAAAAGCAATTGAACAAAGTGTACCTAATAAAGTTAGTGTATAATACGACACTTTCAGGTGTACCTGAAGGCTACATGCATGTATTGAGCCCTCTGCTGGACATGGCGGGTATAACCACAACGGTCCCTGTCGTCAAGGAACTGCTTCTTCGGTTGCTATCACGGACAGACTCACCTAGAAAAGTGACAACTTACCCGGGTTATTTCTTACTTTCTACAACGACCAAATATGTTGTCATTCTTAAGGAGAAGTTGCTGCGATGTTGATTCGAACATTTCGCCGAAAATGGTTGAATGAGTTAGAACCGAGTACGGCTCACGTTAAGTTAGCTAAAAAAACACCCAACAAGCTAAGTTAGCAGCTGTGCTGGGCGTTGAACCTGCATGTCTGCCCGGTCTCAGCAAGGATCAGCAGCCTGGGAGGATGCAAGTTCTTCAGGACAACTTCTTCTACCACTCGTATCCTATTTGTTTAGTTATTTATCCTTTATTATTCTAGAAAAGTGTGTTAACCTACAAGTCTAAACACCTGCTATAAAGTGAAAAAATACAGAGAAGCTGTTCCACTGACACTGTGAATAATGACTAAACCTATAACTTACCATGTATAAGTTATAAGTTAATAACGTTAAACCGTTTTTCATTTTTTGCATTTAGGTGACACATAGACTGTCTACACAGTCATACAAATGTTCTCCTTAGCTGCTCACTTCCAGAAGTTCGAGGCTGGGAGCTGATGGACGCCTCGAAGATGAGAGACAATTTTTGGTTGAAGAGCAGAAGTTATGCAGAGTCCGAGCTCGCAAGTTCTCTCTGGAAACCAACCGACGCAGGAAGTCAGTTTTGGTGTCTAATAATTATGCACTGCTGTTTTTATTTTATCACTAATAGTCCTGTGTCATCTCAGTTCAACCTGCTGTCTGCATTCTGCAGCCCACACCTGCCAGAGAGTCAGTTCTTTGTAAATTGAAAGCATCTTCTGTTTATTCCTGGAAGTACATGCTGCTTTGCTGGTGTATAGTATCTCCCTCCTGGAAAGGCAGCTCATGGTTCTGTCCTGGGCTTAGCAACTGGATGGATTGTGTTGACAGAATTTTGGAGTCTAGACCTGGAAATAGATCTGTTGTTCAAGAGGTTAACTGTGGGCCAACAGTTAACTGTGGGTGCCACCCCTCTAAACAACTAAAGCTGCAAAGTGCAGCACAATATGAGGCCCAAAGCCTTTGCATATATTAATAGCCTTCTAAATGTGTGTTTTCATTGTTATCAGTCGAGTCAGAAAGTGAGTGTTCCTGTTTTTAAACTAAGATCCTGGAGATTATTGATACAATACGATAGTTGTAGGTGGAGGTCAGATTTATTGTGTAATAACAGAGACAGGGTTTAGGTTTTACAGAGGCAGGTGACCATTAAACCTAATAGATATTGTAAAGCAATTCCAATATTTGCTTGCTTCCTTTCATGCCAGTGTAAACAAGGCAGAGTAATTAATTACGTAGGTAAGTTTGCATATTCAAATTATAAGAACTAATGTCACACCTCTTCATGGTGCATGATTGTGTTTGCCTTATTGGTCTCAAATTTAATTCCATATTATTCAAAATGTTGGAATTCCAAACTTTGCAGCACCAATAAGACACATTTATAAATAAAAACACATACAAATGATTAGATAATAAAGATTCTGTTTATTTTGAATAGAACAATAATATTAACTAAAAGCTTGAGCTACTTTTTGTAGCTGTAGACACTGTTTTAAAAAAATGTATGCACATTATTTTTGTTGACATTGATTACCACACCATTTTAACCTATTCAAAGAAAAAAAACATTAATGCTGAACTTGATTAATCCAGTTGATGTAGTTATTGGCTTCCTCTGTGAAACCAGTAGTGAGTGGTAGCTCTAATTTATTAATGACTGTTGAAAAAATATCTTGAGCAACTGACTCAGGTTTCTTTATCTAAAACATGGCCAGTCAACATTTAATCAGTTAAAATGTGCCTCAGGTTCATGCTCTGCTCTTTGTTCATGGCTCAGGGCTTTGGAGGAAAAACGGAAGCAGTGGGACGTGCAGGAGCAACGGCTCAGAGAGAACATCCTACAGCAACGCAGGCAGCGAGTGCAGAATGCAACTGAGCGCTTCCAAAGAGCCCATCTACCTCCTTCTCAGAGATACAGACAATGTTAGTGATGTATCTTTCATATGCCTCTTAGAACTGAGAAATCACACACAACAGTCTTAATACATTTCAATTTATTGTATGTTTTCTTTTATGGTATTTTAGGTTTAAGACGAAATGTACGGAATATTGAAGACGCACTCAGTCAAATTCAAGGCACCTTAAATTCATACGCTCAGCAGTCCTGTTTCTTGTCCAGCAACTCTAACATTAGCAGGTGAAAAAGTCAGATTAATAATCGTATCATTCTCACATGTCCTACATGCTGAAAAGAGATTTTTCTGTTTTCTCATAAAAGGAGCTGCACTCCCTCTCCTAAGCCTCCCTCCAGAAACTCCCACCACCAAGCACTCTCTGCTGTTGAGGCCTACACGAAATTGCTTCAGGAGCAGAGCATGACTTGCTTCAAGAGCAGTCAACAAACCAAAGAAACACAAGAGAAACAACAAGATCACAGTCCACAGGTATGTTGTTTATGACATTTGAATTTGCCGGAAACAAAATGTTTGTCGCAATAATAAGCGTGGAACACAGGAACAAAAGGGATAGGACCCAATTGCAGACACTGGAGGCAGAGTAGAGATTCAAAGATTTAATAATAGCTTAATAAATCTTAATAGTCCAGCACAGGCAAACAAACAAAACACAAACAGAGTACAAGAATCCAAGTCCAACAAAATAGCAGAGGTCCAAGGGAAACACAGATCATCCAAAAACACTGGGAAACTAACGCAAGAAGAAGGCTGGAATAAAGGTCAAACGACATTGGTGAACTAGCAAAGAGTGAGGGTAATGACACAAGTGAGAGGAATCAGGTCAGGGCAGACAATCACACAATGGCAGGAAGTGAGGTGGTCTGAAACAAGAGGAGATGAGTAACAAAGTAAAACAGGACAGAATGAATGAATGACACAAGGAAAAACCTAATACACGGAGCGGAAAAACACAAAGTTAGGAAGCGAAGTTAACAAAGACGTGAGGAAGGATTCAACCATAATAAAAGAGGAAATACACAACAGAACCCAAACACATGAAATGTTTGGCTGGTATTCTCATTTCATCCCTCCCCTTTTTTGTATAGGGCTGCTTTATGTTATAAGATGCTTTGTCTCTTCACACGCATACACAAACCCATAAGACAGTAATACTGTATGTCAGTTGAGTGACCACTGTCTACTGCTAAAAGATTTTTTAGAAGAGTCTCTGTGCTATCACCTGCTTGAAAACTAGACCTTTATTATCAAGCAGATTTTATTATTGATGATGTTAAACACTTGCTTGGCTACCATCTTCTTAAAATTTAGAAGTTTATAAATTGGCCAAAAGTTGTTAAGGATGAGAGCAGAGTCAGCTTGTGGGAAGAGAAGTCTGACTGTTCCTATCTTAAAATAACCATGAACATGGTCAGATGAGAGATATGTCAAGAAAGTTTAAGTAGTAGCTGGAATGAAATCTGAAGCTGACACTTAATTTCCTGTCATTTGAAATTTTAAGCAAACTGTATTTATGTGGTCAGCCAGTCGTGTCTGTCCGTAACATGTAGACACGCTGTCACACCAAATTCTAGGAGTAGTAACTGCATTTGAGTAGTTTGTCAGGAACTATTTTAAATACTTTATATTCAGAAATTTCACTTTTACTGCAATCAACTAATCAAAAATATATCTGTTGTTTAAAAAAACAGATGCACTACACACACACTACAGGATTATATATTGGATCTGGGTACGCGTTTATAGTATACATTTACGTGTTTAAGGGTGAAAGCTGGGGTCTAAATATTAATGTCTCCAATGTAATGTGTGAAGAAAAGTATGTTGATGGAATGAGTGCATTGATTATCTTAATCACTGCACATATTAGCATAGCTAGTTTTTTCCCCCCAGTGATTCAGAAATCAGGCACTTCAAATGCCTGTTTTTGTATCTCATCATACACAAGCAGACCTCTAGGGGGCGGCATTGTGACATGAGCTCTTTCCCATACCAGGAATACCCCTCTTGGCTGTCAGAACCTTAACCACCACCAATTTCTTACTGGAATATTGGTACAATGCCCCTTTCAGATCTGACCTGTGCATAATACATGCATATTGATCTAAGAGGAGGGAATTAACACCAAACGTTGTTCACAGATATGTCAAGTTTATGCAATTGTACTCCCTGTATCATTCACTGTGGTTATTTTAGAAAAAAAAAGAAGTTGGCTAATGAGATGTCACCTCATGTACATGAACATGCACACCTGATTTAAAATGACACAAGAAAGCGATGTGGGATCTAATGGCCACCAAGTAGACCAAAATTTGAACCCTGTGATTGATCAGGGTGGTTTTCCAGGTCTATTTACCTAGGTAGCAACAATGTATTTACACATGCAACATACAGCACTTTCAATTGCTTTTTTGTTTCAGAAGATATTCATCATGAGCTTAAATTATGTTGCCAGGTTTAGGTGTGCTAACAATCATTGAAAAGTGAAGTGAAAGAAAGGCAAAATTTAGATTTGATACTGTCCACATCACCTTTGAGAAATAAAATAGGGAAAATTAAACTGCCAAATTCTTTTACTCCGTGAGATGCAAGGGCTGGTGAGGAAAAATTACAACATTAAAGAGATAAGCTGTAATCTTGAAATTGCCTATTAAGATGTGCCTTAGCATCACCAGGGTAAACTTCACTTTCTAGCCCTCAATTTCTTGTTTCTTTATTTCTTCTAGATATACTGTATAAGGAAAATGTAAGTCATATTATTCTCTGATCATCGCCTCTCTTTTGCTTCCATATTTCAGGACAGCTACCTGTCTGATTGCTGTAATTCTGAAAGCCTTTCAAGTAAGGACAGTTTGGAAAATGAGGACCCCAACCACAGCACAAAAAATCTACAGTCTTCCTATTCACCATTCTTGCTTGACTCAGAAAATCCCCATCCAGACCTGAGAAAGCAAAATGATTTGTGTCCAGCATCAGACTTAACTTCTTTCTCAGCGATGATGTGTTGTGCTGATAACTTACCCCAATCAAGAAAACAACATGAATCAAAGCAGAAAAAACAAGAGGACTCTGAAAGGCCTGATAATAAGATGCATGTTTCTAAAGCTCCTTGGGTGTTCACATCTGTTGAGAAAACACCTAAAACAGAGGTCCAGCCTGCTCTGCACAACTGCAACCAATTAAGTCTTTGTGAAATTATTAGTGCAGACCCAGAGCACTTTGAGGTACACTCCCTGCAAAACAGTCCCAATGACAACATCATTGTTACAAATAGAGTTGTTCCCAGCAACAGTGCACTTCAGTCTTCATATCCGAAACAAGAGGCTTTGTTGGATCTCAGGCAGCAGACGGCCCATGATGACAAAAAATTAAAACATCCATCAGCTACAGAAATTCTTTTTCCTGTCAAAAATGGCAACAGCAAAGAAGTTTTGTTTGGGGCTCCCCCAAAGCCAAATATTTTCTTGAACGATAGCACAACAGATAATACCCCGCGAGAAGGAACTCTTCAGCAAACAGGAAAAGAAAACCACTATCTGTCATCCCAGAAAGAGACTAGTGCTTCCATAAACAACCTCAATAAGGTTTCAAAGTCAGAGCCCAACACTGAGAAGCCCATTAATACAACATCGCTGCAACACCCATGCTTGTCTAACATTCAATCAGACACTCTTAAGTGCCTTAAGTGTCCTGTGGAGGAAGTACAAAAATTGCCTATTTCACTGGGGACATCTCATTCAGTATGTGAAGTCAGATTCATTAAAGGAATCCTTAAAAAGCAGTCCAAATATATGTCCGGAGATACCACATGTGTGTATGACTCAGGACATTTAATCTTTGCAAAACAAGTAGCTTTAGCGATCAGAGATAGTGTTGAATTGACTAGGGAAAAGACTAAGGATGTGGAGAGCAACAACACTGTCAAAAAGAAGCTGCGTTGGTTTGATGAGGTACACATGGAAAAAGAGGACAAAGAACAAAACATAATGAAACAGATGAAAGGCAAGTCTTCCATAATTTCTCAGTTAAATAACAACTCAGAGGACCACCAGCTAAGTCTTACTACAGTCTCTGGGGCTTCCAAGCCTGGACCCAGCATGACCCCTCCAGCCTCCACTGGTTATCACTTTACAAAGCAAGCGTGGGCAGATGTTGGGGTTCAAGTCAGCTTGCCCCAAGAACAAGCAGACGAGGTCAAAGCACCAGGGAGCAGTACCAGGACTGGTGGCCCGAAGGTCCCTTGGAGAGACCGCTCTGCCAAAGCTGGAGGGGGTCCTGTTTCCTCGCGGGCTAGAAAGGGCACTGTCATACGACCTCAATCTGCCACTGAGGTGAGTCAGATTGCCAAAGCCCAAGGGAAGATCATGGTGCCCCGCCCACCTCCCAGGATGGAATCCGTGGAAGAAAAGACCCCGCACATCACTAAGACTCCATATGGCATGGATCATGCAAGTGTCAACTGTAAACAAACTCTGGAGCAGGTCCTGCTCAAGGACAACGCAGAAGGCTTTTTCTCACCTTACACACATCATGTAATCAGAACAGATAGTTCTGTTTTGTACACACCACTGCCACCCTCGTGTACCTGCCCCGTGTCAGAGGAGCTCAAGAAGGGCACGCCCAGCTCAGGTCATCAGGAACCTCAGGGCTGCAGTAAAAGAAGAGGGATGGTTTATGATGAAAAAAGCCTCTGTTTAGATTGCACTCCCACAGATCAGGAGATCTCACAGCTCTGGCACGGTGTCCGCAGTGCCTTAGCCACCAAGGATGGTAATGTAAATTTTGGCTGACCGTCCCTCGCACAGCTTAAGCTTGGTTTCTATGTGCAGGGATGTGTAATTTAAATTTCCATGCAGTTTCTCTTGAGCCCCTTTGTTTCTAAACATTAGCTATCAAACTTCAAATTTCAAGTTCACTTGTGAAAACCGGCTGCAGGACTGTAGCCCTTTTATGCTTTATCCTTAACACATAATTACAATCCTAGTGATTCTTTGAATCTGTACTTTTATCTGTCCTCACATGCAGTGAATGAGCTTCATGATGTTTGTGTGACTGCTAATTTGCAAAGTTGTATAAGATTCCCAAGAGACATATTTTCACTGAAAAACTATTTTTCGTAATTTGCATCAACATGCTGTGTCTTCTTTGGCAGTTAGTGTTTATCATTATTCGCTTTTTTACACATTTATTAAAATTGATCCCTATAATAACATACTGTTCTTTTTGGGTCATCTCATGTTTTAATATTGAAAAGACAGTGAAGTTAAAATCTTGATTACTGATCTTGAGAAACGGAAGCCAGTAATATCTGATAAAGTGGACCTAGTTGACTCTAAAAACTTCCTGCCTCACAATGACCTGTTGTCTGCCTTGCCTCAATCCCGTGCCAATCTGCCCCATGTTGCCATCAACAGTTATAGACTTATCAGCCGAGTCAAAGCTGTCACAGGAGTTCAATTCAAATGTTGGCTTTAGACCACATTTTCCATTCATCAGAGAAAATGATTAAGAATCTACTTTTCATGTAATTACTTAATTTAAGCTTCTGAGAATACATTTGTGCAGGCCTAAAGATGGAAACAATTTTGTTATGTATCCTCCTAGGACCACAGGGGCCTGGGCTCACCACATAGTGGTTAACATTGTCATGTATGTTTATGTAGTTATGATTTTTGTATTATTTTAATGACTTCTTTCAGAAAAACCCATCCTCAGAAGACAGGCCCCGGAGAGTGGGCGTGTTGTGAGGAAACAATGCGTGGAGCAAAGCCGACAGCCTCCTGGCTCAGGGAACAGACGGTTTCCTCAGCCTTCTCAGGTACATGCATGCAGCGGCCCTGTGGGGAGAAAGAGTAAGAATAATTGCTAAAGATCAGTTAATGGGCGTGTGTTTGAACTTGTTGAATCAGTTTTGCAGTCCCTTTCAAGATCTGTCCTTAATGATGGTAAATCTAACTAGACGCCACGATTTATTCTTCCCAAGGCAAGACTTTCCAGATGGACTTGAGTTGTCAGTGTGAATGCATTGAAGCATAATGTTTTTGTTTACAACTTGCTCTACCTGTTATTGTGCTTTATGCCTATCACCGAGAATTTTTGCAGTGTACTATTGGCTACATAAATTTTATTAAAGGTTCACCTAAGACCTTCATCCAGCTAACATGTGTTTTTGTTTGTTTTGTGTAGCCAACAAAAAAAACCACAGAGCCAGTCAGACCGTTTTCCAGTACTTATGACATGGCCTTTACAGATGAAGGTATTGTGGTTACTGTTTGTCTGTCTTTAGGTTTCTGTGAAAGCAAACATGTAAGTTCTGTAATCAGCATTACTGCAAAAAAGTTTAACATGTCATAAGACTTCTCTCCTGCATCTATTTTCTTTAATGTATAACCAAAAATAACCCAAAGTAACTAACCCTAACCAAAAAGCTCTAAGGAGTTATCCCATTCTCAATGCAATACAACGTTGAGGCCTTACGAATTTTGACAGACAACTGCACGCTTTTCCTGTGCTCTCAGGTTTGCAGAGTACAGCACAGATACACCTGGCTGAAGTACATGAAGGCCTACTGGAAGAAAGGGATATTGTGGCTGCCATGGATACAGCTCAAACACAGAGGACTGGAACGGTGCAACAGCGCAGCCAACAGCGGGCACACACCACCATTTCCTTGGAAGAGCAGAAAATCCTCCTATCCCTGGACAGACTCAACCACCAGCTGTACTGTGAGCACTTTTCCACAAACAAAAGGCTATTTGCATTAGGCCAGAGCTGATCAACTTGTTGTGATCTGAATATAACACGAAAGTATTAAGATTTTGTCATTCCAATGCAGGAGAACCAATCCTACCTGTTACTATTTGTAGGTGTACGGGAACATGTTGGTGGTTATACTGGCACGCGTGCACCCTCTGTAAGTATGAATTTTTAAGGGATCTGTTGCTTGCCTCAACACATGAGGTGCCGTTTGAACATTTTTTAGTACTTACCTTCTTTCACTGTTTTCAGACAAGGGAAGTGAAAGTCACAAACCATCACAAGCACCGTGCATCCTCAGCTAACAACCGCTCTCGATACCAGAAGAAATTTTGACTGAAGTATGTGTGGTCCACAGCGGTCTCTCCCATCAGTGCACAATCCCTGTGTCATACTGTATAACCAACCACTTTCTTACCCTGTAAAACTAAATATGCCCACTGGAGTAACTTCAAGATCTAAGAGATCAGAAGCAATCGACTGTGGAGACAGTCAGGCCTAACTAAATTTTTAAGTTGTTAAGTTGGAAATACTTTTGAATTCATCTGCATGGACAAGAATACAAAAAATAGCTTCTTTTAGCTTTTGTTGAGCCACGTATTACTAAGATAACAAATTATTAGAAATTTATATCGACTTTGTTTTAATTTCACAAATGAAAAATGGCCCTTCTTCTTGTAATTGACACATGACCAGAAACAATTGCAAAAATACACTGTAGATTTTTATAAGATTCTTTTTTTATTTTAAAAGATTTCTCATTCTGTATTTATTTTATGTATTAAAAACTATATTTGAGGGGAACTATTTTGAGACCATATTGACATGAACTGAATAAAGCTTGATATCAATGTACTGATAAACTCACTGAGTGCGGTGTGTTTGGCAGTGTTAGTATTTCCTCAATGATGCATATCATAGTCAGTAAATGGACTGAGGACCGGAAATGGTTTATACAGAGAAGTGTTGCAACGTTGAAGGTGTGTTTGTCTTTCTTTGATGGTTGTAGAAAGGACGATTATGTCTTGTGCTGTAGACTCAACCTACTGGCTCAACAAGGTGAGCCTCTGCCAGAGGGCTTCCAGCCTTTTGTTTGCATCTACCGTGAACTTTACTCTTGCTTTATGTCCTATTTTATTTAGTAACGTCAGTAGACAAAATGCCATATTTATTTGATTTTACTTATCATTATTAAATAAATGGTTCTTTATCTCCCTTGCCAAAAAATAGCTGCAGGGATTATTGATGTGAATTCAGTTGCCCCTCCTTCAGCAGCATGTCTGGTTTTGCCCTTCAGTCAGCCTGCTAGGACTTGCTCCAAGAGGTGGAGGAAACCCAAGCTCATTTAAATGAGTCAGACTTCTATCGGTGATGGAATTTTTTGTTTAACTGCAGGTTTCTGGTTCTGTGCATGGATACATTCTTTAGTGTTACAACAAGGGGCTATAAACAATGACATGACTGGAGTCTCACTGCCATGTAGAGTCACTCCTTGTTATCATACACCATAACTGAGAACAGACACATATACAGAAAATATGCTCACCTTGGTGTATGATGATGCCTGCAGCAGCAGAAGTCCTGTTGTGAGTTGTGTGCAAAGACATTCTGTAATACAAGGGACAAAAGCTGCCCAAAGTGGTTATTTGAGGAGGGGACATCGACATCACTTCTAAAGCAATGGTCATATGGTGATTAGAGAGGAAAAACACTGACAATGTCAATTCTGATATTTAACTTGTGTTAAAGTGTTGCTGAATCAAAAATGTGTCTAGAAAAAACAGCCAGTCCAATCAAAAGACAGGCCGCCACCTCTCTTTTCATCAACTGAATTTCAGTCAATTTCAAAAAAGGTGTATGTGTGTATTTAAAAAAAAAAAAACGATGTTAAAGTAAAAAATGTCCTGTTCATCAATTCATCCAACTTCACTTGCATCTGCAAGCGAATATATCTGAATGCATATATAAGTAAAACAGTAAAATCGTGTACAGTAAGAGTTCATCTGCAAACAATCTGCACAGCACTGACCAAATATTTACTCAGACTACTCAGGGTCACCTTCACTTCTGTTCAGAGTCATTATAGCATACAATGGTGTGCTTAATGACATTTAAGCCTTAACCAGCACAACACCCAGAAACTCAACAAGAAAGGCAAGAGTGCTGAAAATAAGGGAAGACGTTTCCACAGCTGCAAGTTCAAGCTTGTGCTTTGGTCCGTTGTGAAGCTTATTCTCAAAAGTATTTTGTCCTGTTTTGTTACAGTCCATTTAACATGCAAAGAATGAGTGTCTGCTCTGGCTCCGTTTCTGTAAAACGGAATTGGATGCATGTAAAAAGATAAAACTGACTGGATAGTAGGTAACACTCATGTTCAACAAGATTGCATATTGCACAGACAACATCATTTGACATATATGCATAATGCAAAACAAGTTTAATCCATTGAGTATAGGTACACAATAGATGAAAGAAAATCAAGATTTTATTTATAAAACTAAAAAGACATATGATAAAAACGCTAATATACATAACATGTATTTCTAATATGGTGCTGATATAGTATTTGAAGAAATTTTAAAAAGGAAATGGAGACAGAAATGTGTATGTAATGTGTGTTACTGTCCTGTTTAATCTTGTTTTTTATTTTCTATTTAACTCTTTAATTCTACTTAAAGGTATTTTTAGATTGACCTATGTTGCTATGTTGCCTTGCTGAAATATGCTATACGAAAAACTCGCCTTGCCTTGAGAGTCTGTGTGTGTGTGTGTGTGTGTGTGTGTGTGTGTGTGTGAGAGAGAGAGAGAGAGAGTTTGCCTGTTTGTTCATTATGATCTATAGACTGTATGCACGCATTAAAGACTGTAGGGGGCACTAAAGCTTCCATCTGCCCATCTGTCTTTAGCAACACCATGCGTCACTATATCTGATAATAACACCAGACCAAAGGTGTTTTAAATAGAAAGGACTAGTATCGCCGCATTGTCTTTCAGGACATCAGACTGATTCAGTGAAATGGGCCCTAGGAAATGGTTTCTCCTGATATTCCGCAGCATCCAACCAAACCCTTGTGAGACTGAGACTGCCTTGATGAAGAGATGCTGACCAGGAGTGACTCTCTGCCAAGTGGGTGGTCCCCTCAGGGCTGCCGGGACACTGGAGTCCATCTCTTTAATGGGTCTTACAATGATGTAAAATTGACTACATTCATCCAGACAATGGACATCTCTTGACTGACTGCATGTGTCAACAGAATGTGTCATTCATGAAAAAAAAAGAAAAGATATATAGATATATAATATAATGGACACATAAAAAAATACCTGGACAATTATGGGAATATTATAGTGATACAGGACATTAATACAATGAAACGTGGTGAAAGTCCACAATGAATGACATAATACCAGGATTTTATTATATTGGACCTGTTGCATGCATATTCTAAGCAGTTTCACAGTTTCATCTTAAATGTTTCAACGTTTCAAAGTTTTGAAATTAAATTAAAAATAAACAGTAGCCTATATACTAAAAGAACAAACTAAATGTGAGACGTGCATCTTTTTTACAAACAAATGCATGTTTCCGCAACTGGCAGAGGGAAGCTCTTTAATCTGTTCATCGGGGATTTACAGTGTCTGCTGGTATTTAATAGGGCTTCATAATGATTCATTCAGTGGATGTATGGGAAAAAGAGTTGAAACAGAGCCTCTGTATCCAAAGAGAGTGGATCTTGACAAAATGATTTCTCAATGGAAGAGGGGCCTCATTAGCATAACAATTGTGGGAACTGCATGGATCTACTTTTCATGAGCACTGTAAAAAAGAAAAAAAAGAGAAAAAAATAGTAGGCTACTTTTATACATACTGATGAGAGAAAGTGTGGCTTTGAATTATTGTTACAATCGTTGAGTTGTAAAAATGTGTGTTTTGTCATCATCCATAGCCAGAATGTATAATATTTTATACATAACACTGAGAAGCATAAAGACATACACTAGCCTGTGTTCTAAATAAATAACCACATTTTAAAAGTAGTAACAATGCAATAAATCCTGAGAGACTTTTTAAGTATCTAAAAACACATACATTTAAAAAAAAACCTGAAGCAATACAGAACCTGTTTGTTTTGGCAGAATTCTGTGTTCAGTTTGATGTTGCTTCCACAAACAATTTTTTCACCTGCCTGTGCATTGTTGGGAATCTTAAAGTGAGCTTCAAATTATGAAACATGTATGTTGATTTTATTCATCTATTTACTTAACATTCTGGTATTTCTACATTTTGGGAGGCAAATTAGCCACAATTCAACATCATAATTAAATCAGGGATCAGCAGGGGTCCTTGTAGTTGGCCTATTCAATGGGTTGCCAATAAAATAAGGAAAACCTTAATTCAGCAATTGTTGTCCAGATTATCTAATTAATGTGTAAGGATGACTGTTCAATTGCCCCCTTGATTATTAAATAAACAATAACAAAAGTCACCATGGATTATGCAGACTATTAAAATCCTGTTAAATTGAGGTTGGAGATGAAGGGATTTTAACATTAAAAGTTAGGACATATAACTGATCAAATGTGGGTCCCTTTGGTTCAAATTGATTTAACAGAAGTTCATAAATGAGTTTGGAGGCCCCTGGACCCTCTCGGGCCCCTGGGCTACACTGACTGTACCTTTAAAGACTCTTGTCCCAATTAAAGCTAAGCCCCGCCTCTGGAGCAGACATCCTATGAGTCATAAAGTTTGATGTCCTGCCCAAAGTTTAGAGCCGACTGGAGCAAAAGTTTTTTGTAGAAAGTGAGCTGCGGAGATTTGGTCTACGAACTATGAATCTTTCTTCTAAGTGTATTCGCTAACAGTTTCAACTTGGCCGAAACACAAAAAAGTAGGATTCTTCCATCCAAGCGTTTGTTTGTTTTTTTTTGTCTTTTGTGGCTGCGTGTGCTTTCTTTTTTTTTTTTTTTTTTTTTTTGGGAAAAGTTGGGGCCCGGACGGCAACACATATTCCAGTGTGGAGTAGATATGCGCTTTGTTACATTCACAAGTATGCCAGCAAGAAACAATAGGAAAACACTTTCTTTCACTTTAGATTTTGACAGCTAACACAGTTTGGAAGAAGATAACTCGACTGTTAAACTCTAGAATGACTCGAGATAACTTTTAGTGAGTGTCGTCGATATTTCCTGTTTTCCTGCTGCGTGAAAAAAAAAAAGTTTGGGATTGGCTCAAACTTATTTTTTGTGAGTTTCTGCTCGCGACATTTTCGGACACATAAAGTTTGCAGACTGTTTTGGGACAATGGATCCGAGCCAGCATAACCCTCCTGCAGGACACCAAATCGTCCATGTACGGGGCGACTCTGAGACGGACCTGGAGGCGCTTTTTAACGCCGTGATGAACCCGAAAAACACAATCGTACCCCCTTCCGTACCCATGAGGATGAGAAAGCTGCCAGACTCCTTCTTCAAACCTCCTGAACCAAAGTCCCATTCCAGACAAGTAAGCACGCCCTGTCTCTCCTCTGCCCCTTCCCAGAAATCACGATTAAAGCAAGGCCCATCCTGTGGGGGCTCAGGCCTACAGTACGTGACTGGTACAGTCAGTTAATAGTTAGCCTGCTTTATCCTACTTTGTAGAAGTTTTGAGCCTTTAGGATATCACTACTGAGAGGTTATTTGTAGTCACATCATAACGTGTAGGATACAATGTCCTAACTGAATTATTTGCACTTTTAAAATGTTCTACAGGTAACTCCCCATTATAACACTTTTACACTCCGCTTTTGGCCTTACACTCGAGAATGTTGTTACATTTACAGTGAGTTGTCAGATTGGCTGAACCTACCCAGGATAGAAGTGA